GTGAACGCGCTTGGTAATCTTTGAATAATTCTAATCTTATAATTCAATTTTCATACACACTTAAACATACTAAGAGTACACGTAATCTTGTGCACAGTAATTACTAAGTGATTTCGTGTATCGAAATTAATCAACCTTTAAGAAAAACAACCAAAATACCACACCGACCATGGTGAAACCAAAGAACTCCTCACGATATCAACATTCACATCAATCGTGCCTTACCCTTGACAACCAATTCAAGAAGAGTGACCTTGAAAGGGTCAGTCTCTTTGTGGATCACCCAGCAAGGACAGAGTCATCAGGAAGAGGAACTAATCTGAGAACAATTGAAATTCCTGCAATGAGAAAGAAAAGAAGCTGTGTGGTCTTCTCCGGACAATATGGAGTACAGGAGTTATTCCATGTGCAGGAAGCCTTCGAGGATGCAGCGGACGACTTGAAACTGAGCGATGAGCAAATAGACGAGAACTGGCTCATGGTCTTGGCACACCGGCCGAGACAGAATTGGAACAACATGTGGAAGGGCCCAGACCAATTGAGAATAGGAAGAAACACCAGGGAACAATGGAAACAGGCCCTTGCGTCCTTCCGAGAATTCCATGCGCCTTCAAAGAGAGCAAGAGATGGGGTGATTGCGTACTTGGAATCAGACRCAATAAAGAAGCCTCATGACGTTACCTGTCAGGAGCACGCGGAGAAAGTCCTTGTGTGTTGCAATAGAGCCAACATCCTTCATGGGATCAAAAGCCCCTTATCAGAGCGAGAGATCAATGAGATTCTTTTCCACTCCTTTCCCAATGCTTGGCAGGATAAATATGTCAGTTGTGGAAGAGACATTCTCGAAGATACACCACAAGGGATAGTTAAGTTCATGACAGATCAGAAAGAACTTGCCGACAAGAATGAAAGAAACCAAACAAGGAAAAGACCAGCAGATGATACTGCAGATACTAATACGAGACAACGAGGAAGGAATAATGGGAAACAGAGGAAGCGCAACAACAATAACAGCAACAATAATAGGGATAACAGACAGAATGAGACCCCGGAAGAGAGACAGAGTAGGCTCAATGCACAGCCCTGTAGGAAACACAAGGGACAACATCTTTGGGGCGAATGTCGATTCAATAAGAAGGGTTACAATCGAAACAATAATACCAACACCGGAGGAAATAAGAGCAATCAGGGAAATTCAAATGCAAGCAACAACAGTGCAAGCAGTAAGAGGTTCACACCGGGAATGTATCTATGCTCAATGGATGAACACGGGAACATGAGCAATTTCCAACCACAGTCAATCCAAACTCAGAATTATCACGGCTCTAACTCCAGTGGTCCTCCAAGCCATGCATCACTACAATCCAACAGCAACGCGGGCTCGACGGTCCGATTCCAAGGACAAGGAGGACCAAATCAGCAGTGGTGACATCCAAAAGAGGCCTTCTTTGCATTGCCTCCAACACCATCCACTCAATCACCAGCAGACAGCCTTGAGTTTTATGGTCTTGATAATGAAGAGGCTCTTAAGAACCCCTCAGCAGTCACCTTGAGAGCTCTGAAACCACCAGCGGATGTACTACCAACAGTCATCCTAGTATGCAAGACCATACAAGACCTACCAACCATGCAAATCTACAAAGTTCTTTTGGATAGTGGGAGCACTATGTGTTTGATTCACGAGCGCTGCCTCCCACCAGGAACAGTGCCCTTCCAAGATCATGTCAGCTCAGTTACAACTACTGCCCAGGGAAGCTTTGATACTTCCAAGTATGTCTTCATCTCTAACATACGACTCCCTGAATTTGGCAATGGCAAACACACAAGAGGGATCAATGCGAGGCTCTTCTCAGCCCCTTGCAACTATGACATGATTCTAGGTAGGGATTTTCTACTGATGACTGGAATAGATCTCCTCTATTCCACGAGCACTATCAGATGGCTGGGCTCCACCATCGACATGAAACCAGCAGATCATTTCAATGATCCCCAACACGTGGCAGAAGCCATGTGGATTGCAGAGGATGATGAACTCTTAGATGGAGGATTCTTTGAGTTTCATCTACTCCCCAGCTGCCAACMACAAAACTGCAGACGTGCAGTTGGTTTGGACAGTTATTTAGCAGCAGATGCTGCCAGATCAACAAAAATCCTGGACGCGCAGTACCAGAGGGTGACTCCAAAGCAGGTTGCAGACCGGCAGGAGCACATGAACAGTTCAGAAAGACTAGCATTCACAGAGATGTTAGCCAAACACCAGGAGTTGTTTGATGGCAAACTAGGCAGATATCCACATGAAAAGATCCACATAGATCTTGAGGATGATGCCRAACCAGTTTATATAAGACCATACTCAGTTCCCTACAGACACGAGGATGTCTTCAAAAGGGAATGCCAACATCTAGTTGATGAGGGAGTTATTGCTCCCACTGGCAATTCAGAATGGGGCTTTCCAGCCTTTATAATTCCGAAAAAGGACGGCAGAGTCAGATGGCTTGTTGACCTACGAGAATTAAATAAAAGGATCAAGCRTCCYAAGTTTAATCTTCCCAAGATTCAGGACATCTTGAACCRAAGAACACRMTAYGATCATTTCACYAAGATYRAYCTCTCSATGATGTTCTATTGCTTTGAATTGGATGAGGAGAGCCAGAAGATTTGCACTCTCACCACAACACATGGAAATTACAAGTGCTTACGATTGCCTATGGGACTTAAATCATCTCCAGACTATGCTCAAGCATTCATCACCAGAATCTTGTTCAATCTCGATGTTGAAGTCTATATCGATGATATGGGAATTTGGTCTCGCGAACCCTCTCAAGTCGAGAATACCTCACGAAGAATAGAGATGTCACGAGTCCGGAATAGAAGAACCTTCATGTAGATCCTCTACCAGGTCTACAGGAGGATCTAATCGGAACTTTGGAATTCTCGTGAACGCGCTTGGTAATMTTTGAATAATTCTAATCTTATAATTCAATTTTCATACACACTTAAACATACTAAGAGTACACGTAATCTCGTGCATTCAAAAATTCAAGTAATACTGAGCACATATATTTTGTATGTATTTAATTTTTTAGTCAAAGTAGTCATTACACCCAAAAATCAAGGCCCAAAATCTACAACTGGATTGTAGAGTTGCTAGTCAACTCTATACAATACTACTAGTAGTACTAATGCTACTGTTTTGGCCTACTCAAACCAGGAAACGGCTTGGCAAGTTTATCTGGTTTCTCTCTCTGTCTGTGTTTTGTCATGGTTTCTGTCTCTGGTGATTTCAATGATTCAACTGGCTACTTTGCTCCATCCTGGGATTGCAAATTGACATCCCTACTACTCTATTCTTTAAAAATCATCCAACAGAATTCTTTGGTGCAACTTTAAAGATATAGTATTAAATGATCCAGATGTCTGCACTAGTACTGTTTTTATTATTATCATCACCATAATTACTATCATTACATGAGAGTGTAGGCTACTAAGTGATCTATGATACAGTTGACTATTTTGGTCCATCTTTTTGCTGTGGTCTGAATGATTACTTTGACTAAAATACTGATACATAGTACCAGTACTGAACTTTTAAGCCCTTCTGCTACTACTAATTCTAACAATTAGTAAATACCAAGAATGGCACCAGTGCTGGCCTTCTTGTTGTTGCAATTATACTGCTATTCCAGAGCAACTAGTAGGAGCATACTTTACACCCAAAGCTATGGTTTTGGCCATATAGTGCATCTTCTAGTTCACAAGGTTAAATATACCAATTCCAAGCTGACAATTAATATTGGTCACACAGTATATCTTGGGGATAGTACTAGTAAGTGTCACCAAGGCTACCACCAGGGACAATGTAACAAAGAACACCAACACCTGGGCAAGGGGGCCATGTGTGCTTCATTTTCACAACTGATGACAGCAATAAAAATCATTTATATCATTAACACATTAAGCTTACTTCAACCCTGGAGATGAAAACTGGAAGCATATTATTTCTTTTGAACATAGTACAAGAACAACAAGCAAATGCCATCCTCAGTAATACATGAAAAGCCCACTGAAGTGGTAGACTACCAGAATTGCATACTAGGTACCGATTGCAATCTACCTTTTCAATTGTATGGGAATTCATTTAATTTCTGGCCCCACTAACAAGAAATGCTTTGTCCCAACATCACAATATTGAATATTGTCGTTATGATGGGGTATGACATAACAAGGACTAGTAGCAGGACATAGTAATGTGAGCTCAAATACAGGATTTAATGATGCCTCATCAAGGAGGAATGCATTGTTGACCCACCCAAGGTGACAACTGAAGTTTTGGATCAACTTAAATAACTTCCGTCATCTGCGAAGCTACGAAAGAACGAGGACTGGTACTGGTGCAAGTGTAGATAATATCTATCAACAAGACGATCTGATGTCTATCATCCACGGTCTCAGAATAGACTTCGAGAAGCATTTTTTGTTCACCCGGCCTTCACGCAAGATTTGGCAACGTTGTGTCACGCCTCCAATTAGATTGGCTTTCCTATTTTCCGGTCGTCCAAATCGAGACAGCATTTACCTGAATCGTGCTTGGTATTGAGCTTTCTGGTCAAGGGACGGATACCCAACTCTGTGCTCACATTTCGAATACGCCACAACATTTTTTCGGACATGATGGTCAATCTTGTTTCAAATTCGCGTCCTGCTGACGGCCTCGTTTTACTATTTCGAATACAATTGCAGTGCCAATTTACCCAGTATGATGACAGTGGTTTTTAGATTTTTCCGTCATTCGGAATTCACTTCTATTAAGATTACCGATCTTCGTAAAGACCATACATTTATTCTTCCTGTTTTCCCTCCTCCTTAGGTTCAGCCTTGTCCGCATCAGTTTCCTCGGGTAGGTTCTCTTCCTTCTTAGCCCAGTATTCTTCCATGTCATCGTCGAGTTTTTTTGAAATAATGGTCTTGTCCTTGCTCTTCGACCAGTAGTCATCCATGCTAGCATCGAGTTGTTCAGCAGTCATGGGTTCTTTCTTTTCCCGCTTATTAGCCTTTGCATCTTGTTTACTTTTGCGATTGCCCGATTTCCCCTTTTTGGAATTTCCGCTCAACCGCCGCTGGTTAATCTTCTTATTCGAGTCTCGCTTTGATGGGGTTTCGTGTTTGGCATCACTGCCCCGACGCTTGCCCCGACCCCTTTTTGCAACGGTGCGTTCCGAGTCGTTATTCTTCGCCGCACCTTTCTTGGTGGAAGACGATTTACTTCGCCTTCTCTGTGAATTATTTCCTGACATCTTTAGAGTTTGAAATTAAATGGGTAGCCTACTGGGTGGACTATGGTAGAGTATTGGTAGGTTGTGATTATTCTTTGAATAGGAGAACAGGATTGAATCTGATGCGAGCAGCGTTGCAGTTGTTATTGGTCATTTGGCTTGGCATCTGCTCTCCATCGAAAGAGTGGATAACAAGCTCGATACGCACCCGTGCCAGTGCTACAGTACGGTACTGTACTTGAACTCTACCTAGTCAATTGTAACTACCGTATGACTCTGATCCAGTCTGGTGGCGACCGACTTCGGAAGGGTCATCAGTGGCTTACTCGTACGTACGTACAGGTACCGTACGACAGGGGTCATAATTTAGAGGGTTGCGCGACCGTTGTTTTTCCTCCTGCAGGATCAGAATTTCATTATCCCATGTGTGTCCAAAATTGGAAAGTGTCACCCCAGGATTTTTTGACAACTTCATTTTTACTCCATAATACTAGAAAAACTGTTCAACTTTAAAGTAGTAACAACTTCATCAAAAATATTGATAATATACATTTTTACTAGCCCATCTATACCAGTTTTTAATGAGGATTCTGAATATCGTATAGCGTTGGCTCCCAAATGTACAAACCAGTCGTCCATTTTGGGCTACATATTTCCCAAGTACTAAAAGAATATGTCGAGCAAGCCTACTGACATCAAGAAATGTTGTCCAGCAACTACACCATTTTTTCTATGGAATTTTTGTCTTGATGTCAGTTGATGTGCCAGAAATAAATTCTCGATGAACACATTGACCTAAAATAACATCCAATGTTGCACCTATTGCTCTGCGAATATTGCTCTGCGAATGCTCCTTCATGATGCTGATGCTGATAGCAGCAAGGCAACTCTTTGTCAATTGTCAGACACAGAGGAGTCCTCACAACCATGTGCTGAAGCTAAAATTATCCCAGTGGAAGCGCTTCTTGTTCCAACAACATACATCTACTTGCGTACCCTCCATTGACACTACAGCAGCATCACTATTAAGCAGCAGTATATCTCCAGCAACAATCCTATCCACAGTAGTATTTCAACTAATCAGCAACACTAATCAGCTATCAACACCAGTGATCAAGTACAATGCATCAATGCTATCAACAACAACAACAACGTGTCAAAGCTATCAACAACAACGAATAGACGACACCCATCAGCAGCAGCGACGCTCAGCAATACTATCAGCAACACTAACAAGCGGTATATCTCCAGTATCAGCAACAGTACTCAGTATCAAGCTATTGGCGCCAGCTACCAAGGACAAGCAACAACAATGACAGCAATGAGAATGACAACAACAAATCAACAACAAATTGATGCTAAGCAACACTATCACCGACACTCAGCAACACTATCAGCAACACTTTTGATGCCTCTCAACAACATAGTAACCAACCGGCAAACAACAAGAAGTAGGACAACACAACAACCGGAAGAAACAACACCAATTGTGAGTTTCATTAGAGGTTTGCTTTGCATATGACAAAATTTGATCCTGTTGAGCAGGTATATAACTGTGATGCAGGGCTTAGACAGTACACACAACAAAAGCAAAGGATTAAAAGTGGAAGAGCAACTAGAAGGAAAGCATGCAAGACTTTCCTTAGCAATGGCAAGTTGCTTGGATGTCACAATTTGCAAACCATTGCAGAGAACCAAGTCAATGGAAGATTTTGCTTCACTCAGAGTGAGTATAAAAGATACTTGGTAGCAACAGCACCAACAAAGTCAAGGAGCAGAAACATGTGTTACATGTGTCGTAGTAATACATACAGCTTGTGCAAGCTATGTGGTGTCCCTCTTTGCAGCAGCAATGCTTGTCTGGAGAAGAGGGACTCTAGTAGTGGAGACCACATTGGGAAGTTTTGTCACAGCAACTGCCACAATTATGAGCAGTTTGGGCTTGGAAGGAGTGACTACTGCTCTAGGGTAAGAAGCCTCCAAGCAAGGAAGAGTTGAAAGATAACACTGAGTACATGAAATTCTTATTGGGCATCAAGGATGAGGACAAGGCTAAGGATGAGGAAGACAATAGGGTTGCTGGTGATRAAAACTTTGATGTTGTTGTTTCTCCAAGCAGCACCAATGCAACCACTGTTAACAGTGAACTAACTCTACCAACTGCAGATAGTACTACTGAGTTAAGCACAGTGATCGGACCATAAGAATCAGTGTAATAAACAAAATAGTTATGATTATTAAATATGGATGATACTTTGCTCATTCCTTTGCTCATTTGGTTGCTTGTATGGATGCTGATTTGGTTGCTGATCTAGTTGCTGATTTGTTTGCTGATTTGGTTGCTCATACAGATGCTTATTTTGTTGTTGCTTTGTCAATTGCTTTGTTGATTGCTTTGTTGTTGTTGATTGCTTTGTTGGTTGCTGATACTGTGGTTGCTTATACTGTTGCTGGTGATTTGGTTGCTGGTTGTCACAATCCATCTCCTCCTCCTCATGATTCATCTCCTCGTAGTCAGCTGAATCAAAGGAGAAGTTTTGATCCATGTAGTAAGGATGTCCCCACTCATCATAAGCAAATTCTTTGGCTCATTGAGTGCAAGGAGTGTAGTTGTTTTCCCTCTTCATCACTGTCCTGTAGATCTCAAAGATCCACTCATGTTTATCACCAATGCTCATTGATGGAGGCAACAGTGGCTTTGCAAAGCAAGCCAATTCAATAGCCTTTGCAAGATCTTTCTTTTTCAAGCAGGTCTTCTTTGAACAACCAGCACAGGTCTCATTCAGCTCCTTGTTGTACAGAGTGCGTTTACTGTTCCATTCCCACTCATCCACCCAGCTCCAGTCCTGATTCATTATGAACTGTACTTGAGGGGATGGATCATTGATTATTTCAGGCAGAGGGAGCTCCGGGGCTTCAGGGGGAGGTGCAGAGGTGCCCATTACAATCTGTATCTTCCATCCAAGGCCTGAATTGATTTGTTGCTGCTTTATTAACTGTGCTGCTTCCCCTGCCTTTGTGGCTGGGTCCCATTTCATCTCCATGTTCCCCTTTACAATTGCAAACTTGCGCTGTGGCATCCAGTGCTTGCGAGCACAGGCCTTGGGTCCTTTGTACACAAGCATCTGGGCTTAATGCCTTGCCTTCTTTGTTTTTGCTCTCCTCCTCTTTAATTTCACCCTTTGCTTTGGATGAAGACAACCAAACAAGACAGCTCTGGTGCTTTGTGGAGGTACTGAATCTGCGGAGCTTGCAGGGTAGCGTCGATATACATCTTTATGGAGATCTTCAACAAGAAAATCTGGTGTTTTAAGTTGCTCAGTGTGCTTGTTTTGCTGCTGCTGCTTATTTTTTTCAGTATCCTCCATTTTTAGCAGGGGTACTCTCCCTCACAGGATGTATTGTTCTTGATCAATGTACTAAGGAGAAAGAAATGGGATCAATGCATTGTGTTAAAGCGCAGAGAAATGCATCCAACAGAGTTCCTTCTGATAAACTGGAGACAGAACAAATGTGTCAAGGATGGGTGTTGTCAAATTATGCATTCACACAATTAGTGGCCTAATTTAGTGAGCAGTTTGTCTGTTGGTGAGATGGAAAGTGTGTATTGTGGGACTCAAATGTGTTGAGTTGAGGCAGTCTTAACACGGTAATTAGATGGCCGGTTATCCCTGCTCTGTGTAATTTAACCGTATAACTGTTTCAGTCTTGAACTGACAGTTTGGGCTGTAACTTTGACCACAACAGACGGATGAAGACAAGAAGCACATGGTTAAAAAGAGAATTCAAAGAGCTTTCTAACACTGTGGAGGAGTAGGGTGTCTGATAAGTATTGATCAATATAGATGTATGGATGTTGAGCATTCCTGATGTACAATTGACGCAGCCTGAAAATGGCCGTCAACGCTATACGATATAATTTTCTTGGATATCAAATTGATTTTTGTGCTATCATTCTTTTGTTATTCCATGACTAAATTAGTACTTGTAGAGCTACTACTGGAAAAGCAGTAAACAAAATGGACGAAGGACAGACTTTTTGAATTTTTGTTAGGGACTGGACAGTTTTCACAAAATTGGATGGAGGACAGACTATTTTTAGTAGAATTACAGTACTAGCCTTAGAAGTAGTACTACCAGCTCTGTTTCATCACATCAAACCTCAAACTACAGAAAGGATTACTTGACTCCAAACTTTATGAGATATGTGCATATGAAGTTTGAAAATTAGAGAGTGATTGGAAGTGTTCCTGTGTAGGAGGTCTTTCAGGTACATTTTTAGCAGTGACACTATGCAGTAAAAATGAAGTTGTCAAAAGATCCTGGGTTGACATTTTCCAATTATGGAGGACACATATGGAACATGAGTTTTTGATGTGAAGCACCCCCCTCTAAATTATGACCCCTGTCATACGGTGTACCATAGTGTATTGAGGACCTGGAGGCTAACTTTACTACATGAGTATGTAGCCTAGTATGGTAGGGGTCTTAAACACAAATTAGGTTCTCTTTTGCTGTTTGTTGCAATTGGAAGTCAAATTGTCATCATTCCGTGGCATAAAATGTATATTGTGGAAAAAACTGTTATGTTTCAAAGAAACAGCAACTATTGGCTCTGTATATTTTCTGCTGGAAGAAACAGTTTATAGTCTCCAAAAACAGCCATTCATTTTCCACTACAGTCTACATTAAAAAAATTCATAGTGGATTTTTGGATTTTTAGTATTTCTACTCCCTCAGACTCCCTATTTCCATTGACTAGTATTTCAGTAGAAAAAAACTATTCTACTTTGCAGTATTTTTTTCTTTTTGACTTCCATGATTTTGAGTATCAAAAGGAGCCAGCAGTCAGACAAAAACAAACAACCCCCCCCTGATTTTGAATACTTCCTAGAGCTACTAAGTACAATTCCAGTGCTGGCAAGTTGTTTCCTGAGCGTCGATTTTTTTATTTTCCAGTCTTTATTTCCCCTCTCCTCCCCTCCACACAAAAAACTGACAAGTCTATTTCTATTAGCGGTCCTTAGTACTACTGCGGATAAAAATTTCTATTAGAATTTGTACGGGGAATGCCAATGGGTGATTCCCAAAAACATAGATCTGTGTAAATTTTGGCACGCCTGGCTCGCATTATGACCCAAAATACATAAAAGTTGGATATTTTTTTATTGGAATCCTTGAGTTAGATTTTTAGTGTGACTGGGGGCATGCGCACTAAATGATATGGGCGCTATGTGCCATACGGATTCCAAATTCCAAAAATGGGGGGAAATATGTAATTTGAGCAGGCCGGGTGTGCCTTCAGTACCACTGAAAGTGATTCCCGAAAACATATCTCGATTTATGTTTTCGGGAATGACCCAATAACTTGCCAGGACGGGAATTGTACTTCGTAGCTCCAATACTTACATGAGAAATTGGGAGTGCGACATTGATTCATTTTTAAATTTAAATTTTATTGGTTCCCCATCTAGTTCTATCGTACTCGTCAAGCGGTGGTACGGTACTATCTGCAGCACTATCGTACTTTACGTACGATACCGTACCAGGTACGTATTTGATGCGATTGTAGAAGAATCTCGTTTCTTTTCAACCGAAAAGTCGTCCTTGTCACAGACTGAAGTGAATAGCAAATGTATTTCGTATTTCGACTTTAGCTTTAGGAAACGTAAGATCCATATCAATTACCTCCGTGGTACAATAATCTAAAGATGACGAAAGCATCCTTCATCAGCACTCTTCTTTTCTTCCTCTTCGCAAAACAGTGGAACTCATTCGTTCATGGCATAGAGATCTCCGGATCGATTACGTCTTGTCAGGGCTGAGTTCTCAATAAAAAACCGGAATTGAAGAACTTCATCCGGTATGGTGGGGCTATTAGCTTCGAGAATGTGGTGGTAGAATTCCACCACGGGCAACGTGCCACGCTGACGATTTTCCATGACGGAGTGGAGTACGAAAAGGTCGATCTGCAGGAAATTGAAACACAGGCGGAAATGATGCAAACGATGCTGAACAAAGGGTTTCGATTGAAAGCAGAGGAAGAAGTGGCTCGCATCCGTCGAATTGGAGCTGACACCAGACAAAAGGAGCAAGACGAATTCGATGAAAAAAGGAGGGAGGCAGAACGAAAAATGGAAGAATATAGGGCGAGAAAAAAGCAAGCCGCATTAGACAAAGAAGCACGAAAAGGAGAGTTGTAAAATATTCAAATTAGGTCGTTGGAGACATTTGAAGAGGGTTGTCGGTGGCAATATTTTGGAGAATGACGGCCACATATGTAGTCTTGATTAGACAAATATTTATGGCCCGACATCTAGAAAGCCGTGAACACAATACTCCGGACTTTATAACATATTTAGAAATTCATCTGGTATTTCTTAGGTTCAATATATAGTCCATATATAGTGTAGCATTGAGTGAGTGATAGATCCGTTTCAAACCTGTTATTACTTTTCTTGTTCTCGAAGCTTCTTTCTTTCTTTCAGCATGGTGCGGAAGTCCTCCATTAGCTGAGATTCCTTTTGCTGGTTCTCTTCCATGGTGAGAAGGGCTAGTGCACGTTGTTCCTCGGCAGAATATACTTGGTTTTCTTTTCGGATACGAACTGCATTCATTCGTGTGTGCCGTGATCCACTCATCACGTAACCGGAGTTCTCCCATTTATCAATGTCATCGCTAGAAAATCCGATTTCACCGCGTCTTGGGATACGTAAGTTCTGTTGCACATACTGAGCAAGAGCTTGCCCCTCACCAGGTAGTAAAGCACCTCCATATGACGCATTGCCATCGGCACCACCTCCACTGTTGCCGGCTTGTTGCAAGGGCATTGGTCCCTCCTCTTCATCTTCATCGTCCTTTGTCCCTTGTACGGCTTGCTTGAAGGCATGCGCCTCCTTCAAATCTGAGTCTCTCAAACCCTCAAAGTCCACAGCTTTCTCATGGTCTTTCACGTCATCTTCGTTTGGTTTACTCTTCTTGTCGCGCCGCCTGACACTTTCGTCGGATGAGGAATTTGAACTGCTGCTGCTGCTGCTGCTACTACTACTACTACTACTGCTACTGCTGCTACTACTGTAACTTCTCCGTCGACTCCTTCGCGATTTGGAAATCCGACCACGTTTTCCAGAGCGTTTGCTTGATTTTATTTTTCTTCTTCTTCTACGACTTCCTTCTCGACGTCGTCGACGGCGGTCTGACTCGTAGCTATCACTTGATGACGAATCACCACTTGCAGAAGAAGAATCGCTAGCATCATCTGAAGACGAGTCTGTGTAGTCATTGTCGTTTCGCCTGTTTTCCTTCGTTGGCGGTTCAATGTCCTGTCTGCCAGGTGGTAACGGACTCGAAGACCAGAGTTGCCGTAAATAGGAAGAAGGTTCATCAACAGAGACACCCTTGTTGCTTTTGTAGCTTTTTCCCGACGAGTCACCATTTTTTCTATCTTTCCAATGGCTATTCAGATTCAGCAATGTTTCACGACGAAGTTTCGCCCTGAGTTGCAGTTGATGCGGAGAGACCCTAGGGCCGCCTCGTATAATTCCTCCAATTTTGCCACCAGAATACTTTCCCGTACTTTGATCCACATCCTTCATACTTAATCTAATGCGTTTTCCAATTCGTTGATCGTACTCCACTTCAAGAATAACAGCGTGTACTTCTTGGTTCATTTTCAATATGTCTGTTACATGTTCGACCCGATGAGATGCTAATTGACTGATGTGGAGAAGTCCTTTATGATGGCGACGGAGCCGATCACGGAAACTGACGAAAGCTCCATATGATTCGATACGAATTACTTCCCCGTGAACGACTACTCCGGGACAGAGATGTTTGTCTTCCTTCTCATCAGATGCTGGTCCATAGTAAGGATCACTTCTGCTTCGCGCTTCTGATGGCAAAGTCGCGCTGCTGCTTTGCCGTCGCGAATCGCCATGACGTGAGTAAGACGATGTTCCTCCTCTTCCGTTATGGTTGCCATTTCTGACCCGACCAAATTCATCCCTGTCCACCATGTTAGTTTTACAAATGCGTAGAATGAACCTGTTTGGTTAAATTTTGTGCTGAATACAGAATGGCAGTAACGGTAACAGTCGCACTCGCACTAGCAATAGCACTCGCATACTGATTTGTTCCGTTATGGGATATGTTGTGGAACGGGATGTGTAGCCGAAGTGGCTGCGTTTTTGAACGAATGAAATGTCCGTCCATCGTGGCGTCTGTCGTCTTGCGCAAATGCATAGATGATGTGGTTCGTGTTTCAAAAAAATACTACAGCAACATGGTGATCATGGCTGCAGATCACATCTGGTAAGTCTTTAGAGTACAATGGTGTATTTTACTGTTTGAATACTATTGATAGACTGTGCACTACCTGTGTTTGATTCATGTTCATTTATTCACTTCTGTTTTGATGGTTGTATGGCTGGTGAATTAATTTATCACCAAGTCTTAGGAATGGGATTCTCTTTTTCATCTAGTAAAAATAACCAGCAGTTTAATTTTGGAGTAACACACCAAGCACCAATCATGATAATGACTCCTCATCAACATAGTAGTTTGCCTTGCAAATTGTGGGAGGTATTGTGTGATTGGACCAAACCATCACTTCTATGGAGAAAGATTCCTCTAGTCACTCTTCTTGTACTAGTAAGGAGGAGCACCTTCTTGAAAGAGGCTCAACCAAGGTTGGTGCAGTAGTAGTCATGTTCACTTTTGGACTTGAAAGAAGAAAGATTGACATGAAGTTTCACTAGATCAGAACCCCTCTGGATTATGTACAGTACTAGGAGCCACAGCAGGGACTGGAAATGTCAAAAGCACTTGACATCTCCCAAGAAACACAGAATAACAAGGAGGAGGTGTGACACTTTCTTAGATACAAAAATGATTTATAATTCATTTTAAATTATCTTGAAATGACTGCTCTAAGTGTTTTTGTCTGAACAACCAGTAGTAAAAAAATGTGTTTTGTCAAGGTACTAATTAATTTATAATTTTGGGGTACTGAGGCCTACACAGATTCTACAAATAAAACAAATTTCTTTTTGTTTCTTCCGGAAGTCAAGAGGAGCAGTGAGAATTCTTCAAGGTCACTGGCTCCTGTGCACAAGTGAAAAGTGGTAGACCAGCACACTGTAGCCAAGTTCTACTGGGTAAGTACACAAAGAAAATATAACTAAAATACCAAACATGTAGGATGTAGTACATAAGACAAGTAGGTCTTCTTATAAAAGCAATGCACATCAACACTGGGCTGGTAGAGTATCATGATGATAGATGAGAAGTACTCATACAATTAAAGGGTCTGAATCTTACAGCTGGTGCCATTCCAGCTCTTTGGGACAACTCAATTGCTCTATTCAGCTTTGAATGGACTTCACTTCACTTCCATTCTGTCATTAGCTGTGGGAAACAGCTTGGAGAACATGACATGATTCTAGGGATGTTGATCTACCATGAGTAGGATTGTCATCCACATCTGAATCTGGTCTTCCAAAGGCTTTTATCAGAAAGAACCTGTAGATGCGGTTTGGAGTTAATAAGCTGAGTTCCTTGTGTATGAACAGTTGATTATTTAGGAATCCATTATTGTTTTCAATACGGTCTCCTTCATCTACTCAGCCCTCCACATGATCCAATAGCTCCAATAGGATCTTATGGTACCTTCTCCATTGTTCTGGCTGATTCACATCTGGCAGGGGCAACACAGTCCCCTCACACCTTTTGCAAGCCCAGGGATATCATGCAGCAGCTGCTTGTTCTTCTCTGCTGTTACCATTGTTGTTACCATTTGATTGTTTTTTTACTTGTACTTCTACAATTTTTAGTGGTACCAATTAGCATGTAGTAGCCTACATGTGATTCTACAAAAATTCAGTACCACATGACAATTCCTTCAAGATTTGTTACTGGTACTGGACTTTTCACAAGGAACTTACAATGTCCTACTTGTAGTTTTCCTACTACTAATAGTATATGTATGGTAAAAGTTACAAGTTGAATTTTGAATTTTCATCAAAGCAATAGTAGTAGGTATGAATACATGATGATGCAAAGTACTACACAGTATTGAAGATTGAACTCATTTACTGTTATTGTTTGTACCACAGATACTAGTAGGATCAGTGATCATAATTTAGAGGGGAGCACAACACCACATTGAAAACTCCTCCTCATCGTGGAAGCAAGGAACAAGAAAAAAGGAAAGGACTCATACTAGTAGTATTCCATGTGTGTTCCAAAGTTGCAATTACTAATAGTAGTAGTTCTTCCCCCAGGATTTTTTAAAATTCTTATTTTTACTGCATGATACCAAAAAAACTACTCAACTTTCAATTTTTGAATAACTTCAAAAATACTAGAAGTAGTATAGTATTAGTAATATAGTAATTTTTAAACATTATGTCTAGACTACTAGTACTAGAAGTAGTTTTATATGCTGATTCTGAATACAGTACTCGTACCAATTACTGTACTACACAGCATTCTTTCCTTCGGCGCGCGTTAAACCGGTACGTATTGATCATTGCTTCCATCACACATACAGAGTATCATCTTACCATGGGTTGAAAATACCGGTAGTTGTGGAACTGTCCCCCCGATAATCGTGGTCGTTTAACTAAGCCCTGATATACTCCGACAGTGCAATTATTTCGATCCTCCCTAAAAAGAATCATAACGGTGTGTTCGTTTGGAGTACGCAGTGGACAGAGTACCGTACTCCCAACGCTACACGTACACCGTTCCTATCATTTTCGTTGGAACCATTCTGAATTTAAATTTAAAGTCGTGTTTTTGATGAGAAACGATTTACGACAGGGACTGCTTCGAGTTTGGTGCCGGCTTCGTAAACTCGTGCGGGTGTGAAGAATGACAACAAAGTCAGGAAGAAGGAATATTTTTCAACATAGCCACTTGCAGCATTCAATTACATGGCACTTTTTCTTTCAATTCAAATCAAAGTGAATTTGACCTGAGGATTTGAGTTTGCCGGCCTTAATGTATTGTCCATTGAATTTCGACAACAAAAGAATGGAGAAAGAGCTGCTTCGTAACTTACAGCGAACCGCAGTAAATGATCCCTCGCGAAGCGATTCCATTTTGAAGTCATTTGTTAAAGACCTCTGTTTTTGGACGATCGATGGCTTTCATGAGCCCAAGCATTGTGGAGGATGGAACAGCAGTAGAACAGAATTTGTGCTCATTAAACAGGCCAGAGGCATGCCAACAATGAAAGAAGCAACTGACATGGATGTCAAGGGGAATTTGCCGAACGAAGATGACTCTGATCATAGCGTAGAAAACTCCTCAGATGCTATATGGAAAAGTGCAATGGACCCAGCGTCTGGGAAAATTTATTATTATGACACAATCACAAGGAAGACACAATGGAAAAAGGTGAGCATGCAGAGGGAGAATGTACGTCATCAGCCTCAAGATTTTCTTGCACCACTATTTTAACGCTGTTTCAATATTTCGTTTTACGTGCTCTACCCCCCGCAAAAAAGCCTGCCAAACTAAAAGAATTGGAAAAAAGAAAGAAAAAAGAAAGAAGGCGGATAGCCAAGGAGTTTTTCAACGAAATGGAAAAGAACATTCTAGATAGTTTGTCCCGGGGGGAAGTAATTCCGGGAATTCCAATCCACAAGACGAAAGCCGAGGGACCACCGAAGGAACTATTGCCAAAATCGCATGTTAGGACGATTTCAGCCATGCATGGTGTTCTTTTGGAAGAATTGGGAGTGAATCCAAATACCACGCTGAAAGAATCGGGCAACGAAACACCAAAATATCAGAAAGCGACACAACGGAACTCAGCCTCAATGAGTGGGCGGCCTCCATTACCAGAATTCCGACGTAGTGTGCAAGATGTAGAGAAGACCTCCACCCAAAGAAATTCAGTCTCTAGTGAAAAGCTTTCTCGACAAAAAATGGGCGAGAAAATTACTGACGAAACCAATCAAAAGCCCGTTTGCGATCTGGCAGGAGAAAAAATTCTCGACGCACCAATTAATGACAAATTATATGAACTGCGTCATGACCAAATAGACGTTTCAACGAGGCCATTAATGGGTCACACAAGACGGAACACAGGAGGGACAATCTACCTACAGAATTCCATGGCAAATCCTGATGTTAAGGCTACCATAAAGTGTGTATGTGGTGTCTACCGGGCTCACATCGGCCAATCGAAAAAACACGCACACGCTTGCAGAAACAACAACGCGAAGTCAATTTCCAAATTTGGTGTTTTTGACGACAACTTTGGGTCGCGAAAAAGGAGAGGGTCAACACAAGTTCCATCTCTCACGGAGATTGTTGAGTTCTACGAAGCCTTCTACGAACGCTCGCAAATGGAGCACGACACAATTATATTCTCCCTCATTTATATTGAACGACTGATCAAATCAACCAATGGAACTTTGGCACCATCTCCAGGAAATTGGAGGTCGTTCCTATTTTCCTGTATGGTTTTGGCAAGCAAGGTATGGGACGATTTGTCGATGTGGAACAACGATTTTGCCAACGTGACTGCCCACACTGTTGGATTGACCCTCTTTACGTTACCTCGTATCAATGAATTAGAATTGGCTTTGTTGAAGTGCTTGGAATTTGATGTGAAAGTTTCTGCAAGTGAGTATGCGAAGTACTACTTCTTGATTCGAACAATGCTTCTGCGAAGTGGTTTAGTGAAGGAAGACGAGAAGCCGTTGGGTAAAAGGAAGGCGTTTGAGAAGCTAGAAGCATTGACGAATCCTAATCTTGATCGATATCCAGCATCGGAGTCCCGAGATAGACGATCAAAGAGCATGGATGGCGGTATTTTCGATACGATCTCTAACAAAGATCTTCTTTCAGGAGATCCCGTATTGAATGATTCTGTTTGCCTAGAGCAGCTGGTGAACTGAACGTAATGAGTCTACTAGCAATTTCCTATTAGTTGTCTACTAATCAAAAAGTGCGCAATTTCACTCTTACATCCTCACAAGTTGTTCGAGTCCCACTTTCGTTTTGGGCTGCTGTAATACTCTTGTATTGCCCTCTGACTGAACGGCATGACTTTTGCTTCGGTGTAAAGCATCAGATAAATTGGGTTTCATTATCATAGACCTCGATTCAAAATCATGGGAGACTTTCTGTAGCCTCCTCGCGCCTTCAACGTCTAGTGGGTCTGATGCTCTGAAATCTTCGCCCCCTAATCCACTTTTAATTAGCATTGAGCGGAGTAGGAAATAATACTTTGCGTATTCACTTGCGGGCACTTTCACATTGAATTTCAAAGAATTCAAGACCGCGAGCTCGAGCTGGTTGACTCGTTGCACCGAAAAATTGACACCGCCCGGTGGGCATGACTGACTGAAATCCCCATTCCACATAGACAGATCTTTGTGTAGGACGAAGCCGTTGATATAAATGGAACAAGCGAAGTCAATCGAAGTTATCTTGTGAGAGAAATTGGTAAGGACAGGTAGACCCTGCCGCTTCACTGCCTTACTTACCATCCCAAACTTTACTGGATAGAATCATACAGCTAAATATCAGCGAACGCCAGTTGCTTGCTCTTGGGCGTAAGCGACCAACAGTTTTCTTAATTAGCCGCTCGACATAAATAAGGGACATGATAATACAGTCCGCTTCCATCTGCGATTTGAAGAAAACGCCTCTATAAAAGGTAGTGACCTCGTCAAGACTTGGAATATAAGTTTTTGTCTCTAAAACGTTGTCAGGATAGTCATTAAATACCTTGAAGGCATCCATTCCCTCTACACATAGATTCTCTTGCTCGGACGATAAGATATGAGATCGATATACTCCACAAACACACTTTTGCAACAAAATAGAATCTTGAACCAATGAGAATACAAGTGTGGCACGAAACTGATTCCTGTTACTTTTGAAATTCCCACTTTGTACAAGCTTACCTTTATTGTTGCATCAATATCTGGTGCAGACATCGTAGTTTTGATATACATCGTTCCACACGTATTTCTACGCTGAACTGTAGGATGTAATATATCCGCTGCGGACCTAGAAGAATTTTTAACCATTCTGGCAACTTTTTCGTTTCTTGGTGTTGCTGGTTTCTCCTCTTCTGTATCAGAGTCATCGAAGTTCAATTCTCGGGGCAGCATACGTCCAATATCTCCACATGTCGCTCTTCTGAGTGTTCGAGTGGGGCTTTTGCTGTTTCTGACCTGATTTTGTCCATTGCATTTTGTATTTTCTCCCATCGCAACTGATTTAAATTCGTTTAGCTGCTCTTTTCCAGTATGAATCATCTTCTTGGTCGAGCTAATTGGTGTGATTATCTCTAGCTTTTCCTTGCCAGTGCTAATCAACTCCTTTGTCTTCTCTATGTGTTCTTTGCCGGCGTTAATCATCTCCTTGTTCAGACTGACGAGCTTGGTTAGTGCTTGTGTTTCTTTTGTTGAGTCGTCAGTTGGGGGTTCTCGAAGATAGCTAAGCAATTCAGACGTTGCACGGGGTGCATTAGTTGAGTTAGCTTCTCCCGCTTTCTCCTCTAATGTCTCAAGAGAATCAGTTTGAAATTCGAATTGTCTCGATCCGCCACGGTTGCACCACGTATCGAATCCATCTCCAACGGGACTGGAGGATGGACCGTGGCCGGATAGTCTTAGGTCGTCAAGGTCGAGTGAAAGTTCACTGTTAAAAGCTCCCAGTTTGATGTTTCTCACAGAAGGTTGTCTGCGAATCACACTTGTCAAGATTCCTTCATCCATTGTACTGATAGTCCTTACCAACTCAGGATTCACATTGTTGAGTCTCGCCTTCCAGAGATTCCGTTGGTCTTCGATGTGTTCGTCACCGGGCACTCCTTCTGACTCCCCTTCCTTTATTGGTGACGATGACTGCTGATCATTCGTATGGTTACCCGGTATTAAACCGCGTGATAGGGTGCTTAAAATATTTGCTTCCATCACTCCGAAGAAATCTTTAACCTTTTGTTCCTTTTCTTTGATTGCCAACATTTCATCGTCGTTCGCTAAACAAATCGGTTTTCGCCACTGTGTCTCGCGAGTGGTCTCGTGAAAGTAATAGGTCCGTCCTGTCCTAGGATCCAATGCACTTTTCCATGGAGAAGTCATCTTTGTTCGGCTATTCTTAATCTGCTGACCTCGACGTAATTCGTCACAGTTTTTGCCATCGTAGTTCCGAAATGAATGAGTAATGTCATTCAGTTTCGTCGTAGTGTGTGTTCGCCCTGTTATTGCGAACTCTTCCTTTTTAACAGTCCCTTTTCGTGATGAACATTTGTTTTTGGTGTTCGAACTCTTCACCCCGCCTGGGCAACGGAAGCGGGACTGTTGAGTCCCGATTGCCCCCAGCGGAGGTTTTTCCGAAATAGATTCCGAAATAGATTTTGCTCTTTCCATTTTCATCTCATCAAAGGGGTATTGCTGATGACAGTGAGGCTGATGACGAACATGAACTGTGCTGTTGATGTTCTCTTTGCTGACACCCATGGCAATCCACTTCGTGACAACATCCAAAGGAGGCACGATCACGTTTTTCGAATTTACATCTGTCTTTTGTTGAAGAGGGCAATTTTTCAGGCCTGTCGTCCTTACTTTGGCATCAAAACCAATGTTTTTCCTACCAATCAAAGCTCTATTTGGGTAAGGCACTTCGGATGACGGGCGTGGGAAAAAAATCAAATCAGTTCCGTCAACTTTTTGTATTGCAAATGGTTCTCGTTCACTTGCTGTATCTAAACCATGATATATGTCAAAGCTGTGACAGATTGAAGTTCCATCGACAGAGCACGCGGCCACGTGTTCCGCGTCGTTATCTGGCGTCTGTGCTTTTTGGGAAGACGTTGTAGACGTGGACCATGCTTTTTCGTTCTCTTCCAACATTGTTTCCAACGATTCGCCACACCTTGCAAAATAATGTGTCACGATAGATATCATAAAGGTGGCTACCGTGTCTAGATCTATCATTATGAATGGAATGGTGAGACTTTTTAGTCGTCTCTCCCTGGTATGCATTCGGATCGTCTTTCTAATGAGATATAAGAGCTCGTTAGAAGGATCGTGCTATATTTCAGAAATATATTGAGGAAATGCAAGAGCATGATTGCGTTTTGCTATGGTTGCTTGGAATTCACAGTAATATCTGCCACGAAGACGGGTGGTGGGTCGTAATAAAAAATTCGAAAAAATAATAAACATTCTCATCAAGGAGAGTCGGCAGCCTGTTTGGAAGAAAATTGTTCGACTTCTTCTGATGGGACTTGTCGTTCAGCGTGTAATTTATTCCTCCCTTTCGTGTGCTTCGCCTCTTTTCATCTTCCAGGATCCAGGATACAAAGAATTGATAAACTTTGTATTTGAAGGTAGAACCGATCGCTCTCGGGTTTTGGGGTGAAGAATCATTATGATATTGTGACACATACAATCCTCACTATGTATGAGGCGAAAATCCATGTGGTACCCTACGATCAATTCATAGAAGAACGAAAAGCGTGGGCAAGAGATTACATACGTCGGAATGGTAGTCGTATTACCCTTCACGGTGCTCTCTCAGCTCTATCGCCAGCATCAAAATACTATCAAAAGACTGTTCGACTAAAATCACATTTGTGATACTCGTTAGTATTTCAAAGAAAATCATCCTGCTTTTGACCTAGTTGGTTCTGCTTGACATCGAGGCGACCTGGATAAAACATCCTTCGTAGTCGCTGGTGCCTTGAAAACTACGAGAAGGACAGCGTCAAATTTTTAAACTTCACAACAATGCAGCAATCTATCCGGACCTCTACAATTTTTCTCATCTCGATGGCGATACCATGGCGAAGATCGTGCGTGCGTCATTAAATTCCAGGTTTAAGTAAGCTCAGACTGTTCAGTATTCAATATAGCAGTTCAAGACCTTAAAAGCAGCTACAGAGCTAAGATCAATGAATCTGACTCCACGCAATTTGAGGCCCAACAAAATTTGAATTTCACCAAAGGGTCACGATAGAAAAGGGTTTTGGTAACAGTCAAAGATCATGAGATCTCTTACATTTTGGTTTAAAGCAGCTCTGTACAAAGATTGATACTCAAGGAAGTTTAAGTGCCGAGAGATTCAACAAAAGAGTTCGAATCCCAACAATAATTTATTACTTCTTGTCTCCTTTATTCCCGATCCATCTAGTTTCCTTTTCTCTTCAACATCTGTTTTGCCCAGTCCTCTTCCTCGCGTGTCAACTCCCTCATAGATCCCGGTAAAAGGTCGTCTTTCAACTTTATCGGTCCAAATCTGTTTCGCTTCAGTCCGATCACAGGATAACCAGAATTGGCCAAGATCCGTCGCACCATTCGATGCTTTCCCTCCTCTACCACAACATGGACCTCACTCAGTTCAGATGCATCTTTGAAAAAAAGGTGACCGTTCTTTTCCAATTTGCTGAGATCGTACTCTGGGGGAAGATTATCTATTATCTCTTGTATCATAAATTTTACCTCGTCTTTCGGAATAAACCTAGTTTCAATTAAATCTGCTGGAAAAGTCCCAATGCTTGTTTCTACTCCCTGCAACAATGTTTCTCGAAGATCGTCTTCGTTGACTTTTCCAACTACTAGCGCAGCGTACTCCTTTTGAACCTCGTTGCTAGGATGAAGGAGCTTTTGTGTTAGCTTTCCATCTGAGCTGAAGAGAAGCAATCCTGACGAGTCGTAATCTAATCTCCCAACCGGATGCATCATTGAAAATAGACTTTCATCAAGATCACCAAGATTCTTCCGACCCTTTTTATCGTTCATAACGCTCAAAACCCATTTCGGTTTATGATAGACGCGTAGTAGCGGAGGAAGTTTTTGCACTTCCTTCTTTCCATCAACAAAAAGCGAAGCGCCCATTGGAATCTTCACTTTCGGACCCGATATGCATATCATTTTGGAGTCGATTTCTTGGAAAACTCGTTTCTTTTTCAGCAACTCAAAACACTCCGATCTTGACCCCCACCCCCTATTTGAAAGAACTCGATCTGCTCGAAAGAGGGATTTGTCTTTTTTCTTCATAAATTTCTTTTTCGTCATAGAACCCTCGTTCCCAGTGTTACCTGACGAAAGGTTGAGACGGGAGAGACATAGAATTGATCTTCTCCAACTATTTTGACGGATTAATGAGGATGGAATTGAATACATTATTGACGATGAGATACTCTTGTCAGTTATTGGAATTGCGGAGAATGCCGATACTGAGATTTCGAAGCTGACACGAGATGCCACGATGAAACAAGCCAGTAGCAGAGAGTGCCGCGTCTTCATCGGATACTCTCTCCCGTATCTACGCTATGTATGATGCGGCTATTTGTGACCGTCTAAAGTTGTTTGTAGTGTTACAATTATTGTTTTCTGGCAAAGATACTCGAAGCCTTTGTGATTCCAAACGCACATCAACACATCAGCGGTTGCTTTGAAAATTAATGAAAAATCAAGAAATGCAGAACCAGGCAAAGTGCAAATACCGGTAGTTACTTAGTACGCACGTACCTTACGTACCATGCGATCCCGTTTCAGCAGAAGGTTCAGAATCCACAATCTGTCCTTCGTAGGTACCGGTAAGGTTACTTCCAAGGCGCATTCTGAATTCGTGACTTGATGTCGTTCACGAGTATCGTAAAAATTCGACGGAGGCACATGGTTGAGATTTCTGAAAATACTTCTAGCAAAGTTTCATTTTGACCATGGATCCATACCGGTACTCGTACTGGTACTTTAGTAGACGCCAACTAAATCTGTTTTCATTGCATCGCAGTTTTACGAATGCAGAAAAGAAGTTCACAAGTCGAGAGAAAAATTTCAAAGAGGTGGTAATCACTTACACTTCGCCATGGCTACAAAGATATCGCATTTCGCTCTCCAGAAGTTCACTTCAAACGGACTAAAATATTCACGGAGTCTTTGTACATTGCTCTCGAAACCGTCTTCACCATCATGCAGTCACTCTGTCTATCCCCTTCCATCTACCTTCACTCTATCGGATTATCGACGTGCGTTCATGAATAGCGTTGCTGATTCCTCAGAAAGTAATGACTCGGTTATCAGCCCCGATGAAATTCTAAACCAATGCTCCGAGCTATACGATTTGTTATTAAGCTTGAACGAGAAACTAGGAGGGATTGCAGTCCCAAAATCGTCCCCGCACACGAGGTAGGCCAAGACTAATTTGATAGAATTGTACTCATTGTTTTCTCTTCGATGTCAGGACGATTTTTTCTGTGCTCACATTTTGTATACAGTTTACCATTTTGTTTGTTAGTAGGGAATCACTCGTCAGGAAAATCGAGCTTTATCAACTACCTTCTGCAACGGAATATTCAGAAAGCAGGTGTTGCCCCGACAGATGATACGTTTACTGTTATTGCACCAGGGCCCGTGGATACTGGTACGTTAGTTCGATATGGATTGTGCGAGGAAAACAGATATGCAGAAGTATACTTTCCAGCATTTTTTCTCACCAGTTTTTCGCTTGCAAGATGCCGATGGTCCAACCTTGGTTGGAGATCCTGATCTAGGATTCGCAGGTCTTCGTCAATTCGGTCCCACTTTGATCCACCATTCTCAAATAAAGTACAGGGAAAGTCCATTGAATTTTATGCTGGTAAGCTCTCCCCTTTTCTCTGTGCATTGTGCCATCCTTTTTTGTTTGTATGCTGTGAGGGTGACACTGACAAATGCGTGTCGTTTTCTTTCATTGATGAACCTTCAAATGTTACACAAGGTCGATTCCCCGTAAGTTCGAAAGTTTGCCCTTCAATTCCGTCAGTGGTCTTCTATCGATTCCTTCCGTTTCACTTTGCGCTCACTTTTTTCAACCATCGATTCCACTAATGTAGAGGAATGATTGATTCACCTGGTACCGGTAGTAAAGAAGTTATGGATCGGGGCTACGACTTTCCTGGTGTTGTCCGTAAGTGAGACGTTCTAATAGGAGAAGGGACCGGAAGAATCGTTTTAATTAACCAACAATTTTCGTTTTATTCTTCCGTGTGTTCAAAGGTTGGTTTGCACAACGAGCTGATATTGTGCTAGTATTCTTCGATCCCGATAAACCTGGTACAACAGGCGAAACAATGTCTGTACTTCTAAATTCTTTAAGCGGAATGGATCACAAGCTTTTGATTGTACTGAATAAAGCTGATCAATTCGAAAAGATTCATGATTTCGCTCGAGCTTATGGTTCTTGTAAGTCGTTCACAAGTATTTGAAGTGTTGGTCGTAAACTTTTGATTTGAAAGAATTGGCGCAATCTCCTCATATGCTCATTTACCTTCATAATTGTTCATGAAACCACTACCATCAACGTTGGTTTGAAGTGTGTAAGTGGAATGCATGCATACTATGATTTGCTGCGGTTTAAATCCTCTTCTTCGCTGCAATGAATTGACTTGGCATGAACATTCGTATACTATTTCGTTTGAGATCGCTGTCGACATCTTTGTACTAAGCTTTTTTATTGATCGTATCCCTGAATAGGCTGGAATCTCTCAAAGGTGATTCCTCGGAAGGACTTGCCCCCAATCTTTACCATGAGTCTGAAAGACGAAGACAGTCAGGCATCTCAACTTCCCGCAAGCCTGAGTGACCTATCAGCCAACAAGGATGACGTAGTTGAGCTTTGTATGAAAGCCCCAAAACGACGTATAGATAACGTCATCACAAATCTCTATGATTCGACATCGACTCTTATTTTATTCTCAAAGATTTGGAACGATGTAAGTTAAACTGGATTTAGTAATCTTCTGGGTATCTCTTGCCATCCTGGTCGAAGTACTAGACTTGGATTGTGTTAATCTAATTCCTCCTTTTCTTTTTTGATCTCTGGTTCAATTTGAAATTGTGCATGTACAACAAAGGTTGTTTCTCGATATAATAAAGAATGGAGAAATAGCCGACTTCGAGAAGCTGGTTTGGCTTCAACGTCGGGCATGGCTTTAGGAGCGGTTAATTATCTTGGTTTAGACGCAATGATTCAGGGTGGTGTGTTGGGAACATCTATTGTTGGAGTCGGGGGTCTGATATGGTATCATCAGAGTTACTTGAATCATGTTCAACAAGACTTAGTGTCTCTCGAGTCACTGAGCGCGTCCTTTCAGCGAACACATGCCCTTGAAGTTCAGGACGGTGATGAATTCGTGGCGAATATCTGGCAACGTGTTCGAGGTTCTTTGCGGTCGGCATTAACCGCTGCTTTTGAGAATGGCGGAAACCAAGCGACCGCTTCATCCTCCGAACTATCAAAATTGCAAAATATTCTGGACATCGAAATCCCGCGGCTGAGACGTCTGGCAAACGAAGCACAGTTTTATGACTCGAATTCGCCTCGAGCGTAGCTTTTTAAATCTAGTTCAACACGTAGTACATCCGTTTCAACGGACATTCCATCGGAATGACATCACAGAGTGATGAATCATTTATTGTACTGTACTGCATTGAACCATGTGCTACATGAGAAATAACAAAAATGAAAAAACTTAAAGGTAGCGGAGACACTTAGTCCAATCTATAGTTTATTGAGACGCATGCCTTCACGAATGTCACATCCGCGAGACGACTGCTTTGGCTGACTCCATTCGCGACCGACAGCGATATACATGTTTGTTATGTATCATTTTGTTGCTTTCTCAAACCAAATAATTGGATCCAAAATCTGACTCGTTCCCTTCCTGTCGATACACGCTCTCTGGAGAAACTGCCATGGTTTCAAAGCAGTTCGTCGAAGGTCTCATACATTTATTCAAACGTGATTGTTACAGAATGAAAGGTCGGCCCCTCCTCGAAGCTGCAATACCATGTGAATGGTTGCTCCAGCAGAGATATTATAAGACTCCAATGTCTTGTCGTCTGCCAGCTGTTTTCCCGAATGAATCAATCGAATTTGGTCCACTTGAATCCCTTCCTTCTCTTGCAAGGATTGTTTGACGGCAATAACTTGATTTTCTGGCTCGAAGTTCATGGCTTGCTTACGCCCCGTCAATGTTTTGATAAAAATCTATTTTCGACGGAAGGAATTGATAGATTGGAACACACATGAAAAATGAATTTATTGAGATAAAATTGCACAACTCAGCGGCCTTCGTGAAAGTCTGCTCGTGAAAGTGAAATCGACGCAGCAACAAACTAAAACCGATACACCATGCTAATAACCGACTGAAATCGTAAACCCTGGAGCCAGCACATCATGGATTGCATTTGGCGTTGATTACGATCGCGGTTGACTCTTACCTGCATGGTGGAGCTTTCTTTGGAATGCACAAATAGAGTAACGAACGGATATCAATTTTAGCGCTATGGGTGAGACTCTATCTCAATCGAGTTCCAATTTGGGATTAAATAATAGGACCATGATGCCGTGTTTTTGAAGTTTTATTTCCTCCCACGATTTATTTACTCCATTGTACCGTGTGGGTATCTGTAATAAATGATACAATAATAAATACACAGTACAAAGTCCGTAGAATCCTAACGTTAAGTCCTTTAGGGCATTGTAAGACTGCTAACTACTGGAAGAAAATAAGTCGACAGTGCTTACTACTGGAACCAACTTGAAATAAACACCATTACTACTGATTCCTACAAACACCTCAGGCCCAATCCTACTATTACTGGAGGTGTTACTAACAGCGTTAATAGCAACAGTGCTTACTATTTCTTTATAGATATCTAACATTGGTCTTTTATTAGGGGATTCGTATCAGCAACTCGTGTCAGCATCCTCTGTATCAGCAGCTCTTCCATAGTATTCCTCCTCCACAGCAGCTCCTCCGTGTTCCTCCCCTGTATCAGCGAGTATCAGCATCCTCCCTACCAGCAAGCCTCCGTATCAGCGGAAGCCGTATCAGCATCCTCCGTATCAGTGTGCGTATCAGTGTGCGTATCAGCTTGCGTATCAGCATGCGTATCAGCGTGCGTATCAGCGTGCATATCAGTGTACGTATCAGCGTGCATATCAGTGTCCATATCAGCATCCATATCAGCATCCCCCTCCGTATCAGCAAGCGTCCTCTGTATCAGCAAGCGTCCTCCGTATTAGCATCATCTTCTGTATCAGCATCCTCTGTATCAGCGGCTCGTATCAGCAGCTCATAACAGCGTCCTCCGTATCAGCATCATCCTCCATACCAGCATCATTATCAGTGGCTTGTAACAGTGTCCTCCGTATCAGCATCCTCCGTATCAGCAGTGAGCCTCCATATCAGCAAGCCTCTGTATCAGCATCCTCCATATCAGCATCCTCCGTATCAGCANTCCTCCGTATCAGCAGTGAGCCTCCATATCAGCAAGCCTCTGTATCAGCATCCTCCATATCAGCATCCTCCGTATCAGCATCCTCCGTATCAGCAAGCCTCCGTATCAGCATCCTCCGCATCAGGGTCTTGTATCAGCATCCTCCGTATCAGTATCCTCCATATCAGCAAGCCTCCRTATCAGCATCCTCCGTATCAGCGACCATATCAGCGGCTCGTATCAGCTCCTCCGTATCACCTGCGTCCTCCGTATCAGCGGCTCGTATCACGGTCCTCCGTATCAGATGGTGCTTGATAGATCTGCACCAATACTATTGGAGTAGTCATAGACTGTGGTTGTATTGGATTGAAGATGGTTCAATACTAAAAGAATAATAAATGGATTGTGAGCCGACGAGCTGCATTGGTGCAAATGTATCATTTTTTGTATCTCTTACTTAGCAGCTGTGCGGTGGGAAATGCTACATATTAAGAGATCACAGTAGTAAATTAAATAATACACGTACACCTGCCAGCTTGGTATGAAAGTACATGAAAAATTTTACATACCACTGAATATTGGGGGTATGGAAATAGGTGCGTTAAAAAATACACGGAAAACTACGGTAGAAAATACATTTTTATCATTTTGTAGATCCCGTACGAGTAAAACGCAGGTTCTGGCAGGGCCCGTTTCTTACATCAAAATTAGGCCACCAGCTACTGTAACTTTGGTGAGCCAGTTTTAAGCTGCCATAGCATCCTATGGGTTCCCAATGACATGAATCTCTAAGTAATAGTATCAATAAAGACATACTAGCCAGTGAAGGGGATCAGAGTTGTTTTTTGTCACTTGCTGGCCTGTTTTATAACACACAGCCGGTCTCAAGCACTAGCTATTTCTGGGATGTACCACTGTAGTAAGATGAGAATCCCAGCCGTTATAGTACTTCATTAGGACAGTTTAATAATGGTTCTGTCTGTAAGGCATAGAGACCATACCAAATTTACACAAAAAGATTAAGTCATAATTTACACTCACTGAACAAATCCAACTCAACATGACCATGGGGATTGCAATAACTCTGCAACCAAAGCATTCTAAGACAAGCAGAGGGTACCATTAAAAAGCTCTCACTCGCCTTTGTAAGGTTGCCAAATATCGTTCCTGGGTTCAAAGAGCTCTTATTTCTATACTTGTTATACTAAATAGGGGGAAAATGTAAGAAATTTGTTTGGGATAGATGATCATACTTGCATCTCGCAATTTGACTACTACGAGAGCTGCTATGCCAAATCCAAGTAAACTAATGGATATAGCACTATCGGGAGAAAGTCTCCATGTACTGGTTTTGCTATTGTCCTAGTTTTGGTTGAGAAAGAATGTTAAAAGTGCTGGTGGAGGAGAATGGTGATGACAAAGCACTAAAATGGAAAAAACAAACAGATCAGGGAGTTGGGCCACGACATTCCTGAAGGAATTTCTCCCTATCAGCATCAGTCATCTGTCTGAGTGTCTCCTCAAGCATCTTTCTGTTGTTTTGTTCCTTTCTTCCAAAAGCAGTGTCCTTCAACTTGATGTCCTTGGTATTCATCTCGTGAGTTCCGTGGACTTCCCTGTTGAAGCAGGAAAGTGTACTTCTGTTTCATCTCACTTGTATTTTCCCCTTGCTTACTAGGTGGAATACCATGGCATTTCAGTAGTGTCTGTAGCTGTGGGGGCTTCAGCTGTGAGGGCATCAGCAGGGTTCATTACTTGTCCTGTTGATGAACTTCATCTTGATATATGGAGGATTTTGTTTTCAATCCTGGATTGCAAGAAAATAGGGCATGTTGATGTGTTGCAATTGTTCTATTGGTACTCCAGAGGTGACAATTTTGATGGTAGAGTTGTTATCCTCATATACTAGTGTTGTTCAGCCAACAACTCAGTTGTTTTTATGTTTGTTTGTTATCATGAAGACAAGTATGTATTACCATTTTGGTTGAGGAGTTGGCATTTGTTTGCAGGGAGGTTTATGGTTGCTAATGAGAGTTTGGTTGTTGCTGCTAATGAGGGTGATGCAATCCAGTGTATTTTATATCGAAGGCACATGGGCATCTGTATGTGGTATAGTTGTGTGAGGAGAGAGTAGTACACCTAAAAAAATACCATGATGATGGTGATTTTTATTGCTCTAGGGGTGACATAACTGGTAGGAATGACTATCTAATAGAAACGTGATTTGAGTGTTAGAAGAAAAGTGAGTACAGAATCCTCTTGTTGAGAGTCAACAAACTATGAAGTCTAAAGTCAATCACTGGAAAAATAACCCACAATTCTAAAACATGGGTTATTTTTCACCAAAAAGAACCCATAATTTGAAGTGCAGGGTCCTGGGGTCCTGGGTTAACCAACAAACAACCCATGAAATAACCCACAAAATAACCCATGAATCTGCTGGGCCTATTTTCAACCATAAAAAACAGTGATTGACTAACATTATTGACTAAAATACTTCACATCATTGGCTCTCCACTAACCCAGATGACTGTAAATTTGTGGGTTATTTGTGGATTCTTTCATGGGTTATTTGTGGCTTCTTTGTTCTTTTGTGGGTGATTTTTCAAATTAAATAACCCACATTTTAGAACCATGGGTTATTTTTCCTCTGAAATAACCCACAATTCTAAAACATGGGTTTTTCTTCACCAAAAATGACCCATGTTTTTCTAGGGGAGGAATTAAAAAAGAGGGATGCGTGTGTGGTTACCGGAGGGATCAGTGCTGTGGTTACTGGAGGGATCAGTGCTTTTGTTATGAAAGTCATAGTAACCTCCAGCAGGATGAGAGGATGAACAAGCTTGAAGAGCCAATTCCAAACAATATACCATGAAGAGCATGGTATCGTATGAGGACTCATACGTACATACTTACAGGAGAGGGACCAAAGGGACCATTTTTTAAATATCATCACACATTTTGCGCAATTTCAACGGTTATCAAATAAATATAATGACTTTCCTATGTATGCTGTTTGCCAATTTGGGGACTTAAATAATCCAATTAAAGGGTGGTTCTACAAAATAGAATGTCAGTTTTATTGTTGGATTAATTAGTAAATTTAATTAATCGATTAATTAAATTCAATTATTCGCTCAATTAAATATAATTTAATTAATATTTTTTAAAATTTTAAATATGGATTTAATTAAATTGAAGCAGCAGCAATCACCTGCTAGTAGTACAGGAGCAAAGCTTCCTGCTAAGCTTGCTAACAACAGCAGCACAAAACACAACAGCAACAAGAACCAAGCATCATAGATCCAGAAACGATCAAACATATTATATGAGAGATTGGTCGCTGGCCAGATGATACTAGGCAATGGAACAATAAGAATAAGGAAAGTTGTATAGCAGACCTGTTTTGTGCACCAAGCACAGTTATTGCTGGTTTATGGAATCAAATTGGTGAGCCATCATTGCTTGACAAAAAATCAGCTGCTGAACCAAAACACCTCCTTTTGGGACTGTTATTCGTCAAAGTGTATGCCTACTGAACAAAATAGGATGGATCTCCTCTGGCAAGAAATTGTACTGTGCCCCCTCTTTGATAACCACCACACTGCAATAGTTCTATTCCTCCTACTAGTTGTACAACTGTTGCTGTTCTGGAGGTCTCAGTGTATGCTGTTGCTCATGGTGTTTGTTTCCATCCAGTATCTGTCAAAGGCTGATTTTTGGTCAAAAGCAAATTTTAACACGGTGTTTGCATGTGAAGATAAAAACTAACCGATTTTGCCATTGAATTTTATACAGGATTTCTAAGAGGCTTTTGTACCAGGAAGCTCCATAAATCAGTATTTTTGGTCTCCAGTTTTCCCCTTCAGCTGGTTGGTAGTGCAATATATGGTTCCAGTAGTTTTTCTACCAATAGTATGACTAGAATAGGCTTTGTATGCACAATGGTTCTCCATTGAATCATGCAATGCTTTTGATATTGAACCATCATGGTTGAATATAATTTTATGATATATCAACATTGCTACTAGCACACATCACAATTAAAATGTTATACTATATAACATGTGCTGGACTGGCACTTGAATAGTGAATTCCCACTTAAATACTGTTGTAATGCATGATAAAACAGAGTGAGCACACAGTTCACCATATAATAAGTGCTAGAAAATGTCAAAGTTAGTACTTGTACTTGTACAGTCAGCATAAAGAACCATTAAGGTTAAGAACAGCAATCAGCAGCTCTATCTCAATGGCGAGGACACTTGGATCAACAAATAAGATAAGGAAAGGACAAGCACCATGGACTTCATATAATAATCTCTCCACTGCCTAGCAGCTTGTGGTGTACTTCTATTGGATCTACATCAAAACCAAAGGAAAGGAGGGTTGGGAAAACAAGAAATCTGGTCCAACTGAGTACTGGAGACACTACAAAGTGATCAACAAGCACTGGAAAATCTACAACCAAGAAAAAGTAAGTGTCAATAGTTGGAAACAACTGATCTAGCTTAGTAGTAGCAATTCTCACAGCAACACCAGAAACTGAATCTTCTTGCAGAAGCGTTGAGCAAAACTGAGATCCACATCAAAGAGCCTGTCCTAGAAGGCATTCCCAGGACCCCATCTTCTGTTCTTACTGCTGGTGATCAGAGGCCACTCAGTTATTCTAATCATGAAACAAAAAGTTTTGTGTTGCCAAAAACACCTCCTCCAGTCTTCTTGCCTCAGGCTACTCCTTATCTGAAAGCAATGCCGGTCAGCCCCCCTGTCCTCAATGAAGAAGCAGCAGCATCAACCTGCTACACCAACAACTGTTGATGATCTAGTTGACACTGCAAACAACATGTCCCTTGAAGATGGCAGTCATGTTTGTGTCTTGGGGAGTGCCTATCCTACTATCATAGGAACTTGGGACTCACAGGACACCAATGATGAGGATTCCTCTGATGAAGAGTATGAAGACTAGGTCTTTACCATGATCAGAATGATCATGCACAACTTCATTCATTCTGATCTTATCATCCCTCAGTGGCTTGATCCATTCAATCTTCAGCTCACCATTTCCTGGCTCAAGTGGTTCAAAAAGGTCTCTTGCCATGTTGCAATTCAACAGGGACAAAAGCACCAGTTTGACAGCAAGTATGCTGTAATTAGGACCATGAGGTGTTACCTTCAAAAGCTCTACAAGAAAGATACTTTTGGACAACCAATGAAGGAGAAGATCATTTAAGATAGTATCACTATCCAGTTTGCTACACCTATGTGTACTGACAAGGAAACTGTTGCCATCAATGTTGTGGATATCAAAGTGAGTGATGAGGATCTTGAAGACAATGAGAAGCTCCCAATGGGGGGAATCATCAAAGTGCTTCAGATCATTGCTGAAGCTGATATTGGCTCTAAGAAGGAGCCAAACCAACAAATCCATGTAGGTGGGAGGTCTGCTACTCAAGGGAAGGAACCAAGTGGTAAAAGAATTGATGAAGATGCTGAGGTGCAGCTGAAGTAGTTTCAGTTGCAGATTGGCCAGCAGAAGCAGAAGCACCAGTTGCAGATCAACCAGCAGAAGCAGTTGATTGGCCACCAGCAAATTGTTCCATTTGCTGCTCAGCCTCCATTACCACCACCACATCTAACCCCAATTTTTTTAATCAATTGATTAATTAAATTTAATTGGTGATCTGTTAATTAAATTTTATTAATTATCATGTGGCAATACTTTAATTAATGGTTGCACTCCCCAAATACAGTAATTTGAATATCCCCCTAATTGAAGAACACTAGATTAGTAGAAAATAAACCATTATTTTTGAAGAAATACTGTCAAAAGAGCGCAAAACATGAAAGAATATCAAAAAAAGGGTCCCTTTATCTCCTGTCCAGGAGTACTAAGTACGGGCCCCATAATGGCAAGTTATTGGCAATCCCTGTACAAATATTAATAGAAAATTTTAGCTCATTTTTACAGTTAATACCAGTTAAAAAAAAGGCATCCAACAGACAAAAATAAAAATATTTCCATTGTTGGCTACAGTGCACTGCACTTCACTATCTCTATCTTCAGTGCGCGGTAGCCAGTAACCTTGAAGAATTCTTACAGCCCGGGACTTACCGAGGAAACAAAAAGAAACTTGTTTTTAGTGTGGATTTGTGTAAACCCTCGTATATCAATTTTCTGCAAACAATAAATTAGTACCTTGACCAAAAATAGATTATTCATTTTTAACTTAAACATTCAGTCATTATTGTGACAACAAGTCATTCTATTAGCAATAACTTAGTTTTTGCTCTGTAGTAAGTTTTTTTTTGGCCACGGCCTTCCTTAAAAAAAAAAAACGACGGCGGCCTACCAATTTAATTTCTTACTAGTCCCAAAATATTTCTATTAGTGGTCCTTAATACTGGAGATAACCACTGATTTGATATTCCCGGTAGTAAGGACCAGTAATAGAAATATTTTTCGACAAAGTAGTTTTTTGTGTGGAGGGGGGGGGGGGAAATAAAGACGGGAAAATGAGAAAAAATTGACACCCGGGGGAATTGCCAATAACTTGCCATTACCATGGGGCCGTACTCCTGTTAAATCAAAAAGCAAAACTGACCCGTCGATCAACGAACTACGGACTACGGCACGGGGATGTACGACAACCCTGATGTACGTGTTCGGTACGTACGGCAGAATCTTGGTATTGTGATCTCGAGATCTAGACCATTGTGGCTACTTTTGTCCTAGAAATCGCACAAACTGTCGAACCAATCCACGGCTCTGACTGTTTAAAATCGGAGTGACAAGGGAAAGAAGAAACATAAAGAAAAATGGCGTCGGCAGGCAAAGGCACAAAACGAAAAGGAGGGGATATCGATAATACCAAAAGTGAAGATGCAAGGCTGAAACGATCCAGGACCAATACTACAACAACGACTAGCGCCACAAAAAAGCGACGGGGACAACTAGAAGAAATACCAGCCTCGTCCCATTATCAGGTTTCTTTTATGCACAAAGCAACTGTGACTCACGTGGTGTCATCTGCTAGATATGGATTCGTAATAACTGCCTGTGATGAAGGTATTGTAAAATTTTGGAAACGATCATCAACCGTTTTGGATTCTCACGGAAGAGAGGCAAACGCCAAAAAAAACTCATATAGAAAGTCTAAGGACGACCTACATTCTGCAACTCCTTGTTTAGAGTTTGTGAAATCCTTCACTGCGCATATTGGACCACTTGCTGCCTTGTGTATAGATGAAAGCGACGACACCATTGCATCCATCGGTAGAAACGACGGGATGATTAAATTCTACGATGTTTCTACTTTTGACGCCAAATCGATGATCAAAGCAAAATCAGACTCTTCCTCGTTTGGAAGAGCGGCTACATTCATGGAGGATGAATCGAAAGAACTTTTGTTGGCTATTAGTCACGCTGCCGACGGTAACATTTCCATATACTCCGTGGCAAATCTTCAGCTGATACAGACTCTTTCGTTGCATTCCAAACCAGTTACAGCCTTAGCCTACAACAGGCAACACAAGTGCTGCATTTCCGGTGATATGATGGGCATTATTGAAATTTGGGATTCAACACGCGGAACCACTGGTGACCAAATCGCTGGGGGTCCATGTTCAATGCAGACAAACAAATTGGAGTATCCTTCGAAAATTGACACGGACCTCTACAAGTTAGCGAAGAAGAAGACGTATCCTCGGTGCATTGTCGTGTCAAAAAACTACTTTGTTGTCTACGGAGCTGATCATAAGGTACGCATCTTCAATCTCTCCACTGCCAAAATCGAAGTCAAGTACGACGAACGTCTGAGTGTATACGCATCCAAAAACTTTGCCAATTACGGAATGGACTCTATCGAATTCGGGAAGCGCGCAGCTACGGAGAGAGAAATAGAAGATCAGGACAAACGACCCGCGTTATTACCCTCGAAAATGGTAGGAATGGATCCCTCTGAGCAGTATCTCTTAGTGTCAACCATGATTGGAATCAAGATAATTGATTGGAAGAAGAACAAATTAGTGAAGGTGATAGGGAAATCTGACGCAAGTCAATATCGCTTCCTTTCATTTTGCCTGTGTTTGGGAGGTGCAAAGATGAATCAACAGATGCAATTGGCCCGCGGCACTGGGAACGCGACTGCCGTTGGAGAGAAGGAAGCTGAAGTAAATAACTCTATCGTTGTGGCACTTGCGTATCAACAACGTCGATTTTATGTTTTCTCTCATGTAGATCCAATGCTAGAACAACAAGATGGAAGCGCCGATAGTGCCAACAATCGGGACATATGGAACGAAGCTCCAACAGCAGAAGATCAACTACTTGTTTCCGAGACTGGGCGAGGAGGAGGGGGTGTACAAAGCAAAATCGTATCAAAAGCCATTTTACGAACGACAAAAGGAGACATTCACATCAAATTATTCCAAGAAGTTTCAAAAACGCTCGAAAACTTTACAGAACATGCACGATCTGGTTATTACGACGGAGTCTTGTTCCATCGAGTAATTTCAAGCTTCATGTTGCAAACCGGTGATCCTCTCGGGGATGGAACTGGCGGTGAAAGTATATGGGGAGGAGAATTTGAGGATGAATTTGTTCGGGAGTAAGTAAAAATATTTTGAATTATCTCGATTTAAATTTAGGGTGACAATATTTCTCAGCGACGTTTCCTTTCTCGATGTTTTGTTTTTGCTGGCAGTCTTCGTCACGATCGACCTTTCACTGTTTCGATGGCCAATGCAGGTGAGTACCCACATTTAATATATATTATCAGAAATAACATTAGCTTCCTCTCTGGATCATTTTTACTCTTCTATTCCCTTACCGTAAATGCACCGGTATTTTGTGTTTTTGTGTATTGCAGGTCCAAATACCAACGGCTCTCAGTTTTTCATCACAACGGTTGCAACACCATGGCTTGACAACAAACATACTGTTTTTGGTCGAGTAACAAAAGGGATGGATGTCTGCAAGTTGATCGAAAATGTGCACACTGACAAAAACGACAAACCAATCGATGATATTCGAATTTTAAGTGTTGATTTAGAATAGTTTATATCAACCAACTCCAAATGTCATGTCCACCTATTATTTTTTCGCTTCGTTTTCACCGCTACGACCATGTAGCGCTGACTTCATTGTAATCACTCCTAGCTTTTCCTTCGACATTACTTGTCAAGGGATAGTAGACGACTGCTCCCTCTGCTTCGTGATTTCATTGTGGCAGTAAGCAATCATCCTCTCTCTGAAGAAGTTTCAGACCCATATAAATCCCTTGCATACCTGGATTCTCTAATTAATGATGGTTCACTAGAAGCCATGATAGAAGAGCTACGAAGTACAGTGTTGTACAACAACATAATACCTACGTACCTTTGTACCTATGTAGTACTACTATTATGTGCATCTAGAATCTAGACCACATTCGCAGTTTGTACTCCTACTATTTTTGCTTTATTACAAGCATTTCCTCACATCTCAGTGTTGGCATCTGGATATCACAACAGACAGGCCAGCAAACTTGCTGTTTCTAAGTAAACAGGCCATAATGATGAAGCGGTGTCACATTAGCCAGATATATGGTGGAAACGGTGACCAGCAATAAAGCAAATGAGAGAGGAATGAGCAATCATGACTTAGAGTGAAAAGAGAAAACAGCTGTGATGTGAGAGGAATTTAGTGATTATATTGTAAATATGAGCATGCTCATTCTTTTTTTAAGTTTATTCAGTTAACAATGTGAGAGGACATTTTAAGACTTCCCACAACTTATACCTTTACTTGTTGGCTAACATGTGGAGTCAGCATAAACTAACAACAGAGCTGCTGGGCCCTCCAGCAACAGCAACAAGGCACCAGATGAACACAAGTTGTATGACACTGCTGGTGGGGGAGCCCCATGGAAACAGGGACTGAGATAGCAAGGTGAAAAGAAAAAAGAAAAAAGGTATCAAGCAAGCCACTAGTAAACCAATCTTCAAGGGTAGATGCGATGACCTGGAAGGATTCATATTCAATATTGGGTCACAACAGGCTACCAAATATATGAAAACAAAGAATGAAATAGTTCAGTATGATGCTGGGAGAAAATATGGTGCCAAAGTGCGCAGGGCCATTGACAACTTACAATGCATATGTGAGAGGCGCCATCATGACAGCTAACACACCGGTATTACTAGTCACCAGCAACCCACCTACTGGAATGTATACAATAGTTAACAAGGAAATTGCAAGAAGAAATAAAATCAAGATACTCCAGTATGATAAGGACATGAAAAAGATGTACAGTGCTATCCATGGCCAATGCATAGATGCCATTATCCAATGAATTGGCACCAAGGATGCCTACGCAGCAGTGAATTTCAGATTGGATACAATTGGGCTCCTCGCCATCCTCAAGAAGGTCTGCTACAAGTGTGAGGCCAAACAGTTCCCACCACTAGCAGAAGTAAGGGCATTGATGACACTGATTAAGACCAAACAAGAGGAGGATCTGCAGAACAACATCAAGTGTTATGAACAGTTCAAAAATATGCAGACAGTGCTGGTTGCATGCAGCACTGATTTCAAACTTCCCAGAATCGAAAAGTACGTACCGCAAGAGTATCACCATGGCACCAAGCTGGAGGACCTCACACCAGATATCTCCACACAAGTCCAACAGGAGGTTGCAGATATAACTCTACCAACCACATCAATTGAAAACAGCAACCAAAACAGAGATGGAATAATAAAGCAGATAGAGAACAGCTACCTGATGGAGCAGGAGAACTACCCACCAAGAACACTAGCAGAGCCACAAAACTTGCTAGTCAACTACAAATAGGATACTAGACTATACACTTGCCAAGTAGCTGTCAGGGCTGGTGTCGCCATTTGCACAAGAAGGAACTGCGTCTAACCCACCCAGCTCAGGCAGCAACAATAACAGCAAGAGGGACAAAGGGCTGGTTAGGTGCTGTAAATGCGGCAAACTTGGGCATTTTTCATGGAAAAACATGTGCAAGCTTTATCACAACAAAGAAGCACAAGCACAGGTAACAAGCAACTCTGATGCAACTGCAACTCAAGAGCCAACACCAACTGACAGCAATAGTTCCCCTGAGGTCACCACTGGTAGTAAGGTGGGCAACATGAATTCAACTGTTGGGGACATCGTAGACAACTACTACTATGATGAAGAGCAGTATCAGCTGATATTCTGCATACTTTCAAGCCCTTCCATCTGCAGTCTGGATGACAACAGTAAGAACTACTACAATGCTATACTGAGCCAGTCCAAAGGAAAAGTCAACCTGAACTGGCTATTGCTTGACAACCAGTCAACAGTTAATGTGATTTGCAATCCAAGACTGCTCAATAACATTGACAGTCTCAAGAACAAATGACAATGTGGTATCACAAAGGAGGAATTGTCAACATTCTATCACTGTCACAGGTAAAGAAGCAGCACAATGTGACCAATACCTTAAGATGTGCAGCAAGGATGACCAGCATTATCACATGCTCTATGAATCCAGTAGAGGAATATACTACAGCAACATGAAGGCTGAACCATGAATATTACTCCTTGGTAAAGGAATCAGCACTATAAAAGCAAATAGTGAACAGTTCTCTCCTGCTCTGGATCAGTGCCAGGCATCAAAGGCTTGGAAGATGCAAGACATACTCAGTATCACAATAAGAGAAATGATTAGACTGGTTGATAACAACCTTACACCAGAGCAGATATCAAAGCCGTGGAGCAAATTTATGGACCTATTGTGGTGGGTCTAAAAGGGAAGACAATGTGGTGGTCCAAGTGCCATGTGCAAGTGGATGCGCAAGACCTACGACAAAACATTCTGTCATAATACTCCAGAGTGCCATGTGTAAGTGGATGTGCAAGACCTACTGAGAAACATACTGTCACAGTATTTGCAAAGTGCAACTAAAACTGCATTCTCCTTCTACTAGTGCTAACTACTTGTCCCCCTCTAAGCTTAGTTTAATGTTATAAATAAATAATACATTTCTGTTATTGTCAAGATTTACCTCCATCATATGTCTGTTTATTATGAAAATTGGTGCTCATTAATGCAAGTAATTCTGCTCAACCAACTTACTAGCAGATTTTTTGCTCTACTGGCATGGCACGGTATGTTGACAGTAGGAATCAATACAATGTACACGTACATAGAATTGTATATGATTTCCTACTGTTGCATTTTTTGTTGCATTATGGTTGAATACCTGCACAATACTCCAGGGTTGAAATTGCTGCAGATGTCATGTGTGTAAATAGAATCCTGTTCTTCATCTTTATCTCTATCTCCTGGCACTTGCAGTTTGGAACTGCCAAAATGATCACTGGTGCAAAGGCAAAGACCTTGGCACAGTGCCTGGTCCATATTTAAAAAAAACTATCCAATGAGTGGCTTTGTTGTCTCTTCAGTAAGTATGGACAACAGGTTCACACCAATACAGGCCAGCATTGAGGAGCTGGGGATCACCCTGAACTTTGTAGCCATGGATGTGCATGTGCCAGAGATCAAATGTTACATCTGCACAATCAAGGAGGGGGTCAGAGGAATACAGTGCACACTTCTATTCAAGAGGCTGCCAGGAAGAATGACTTCTGACGAGCTTGTATCCAGTCAGATCTTTTGGAGTTATGCAGCAGTTATGCCATGGTAATCCATGCCCTGGTTGAGCTAAATAAGGAAAAGAACAGGTTTTATCAGCAGGTGAACGCAATATGGCTAATAACATCACTTTTAGGACAGTCACTCCCACAGGTTATGACACCCTTCCAATAAAATTCATCACCACGGCGATGGTGGCGACAAGGCATATGCGTTGTCGGAGACGATGGCAACGACAAGGCGTATGCGTTGTCGGAGACGATATATTGTTCAAAGGTGTGTATTGACGCAGTGTCGGTAGAGTTCGTATTGAGGAGAGATCACGCCTAAAAAATTATCACCATGGTGGTGATGAATTTTATTGGAAGGGTGTCATAACCTGTGGGAGTGACTGTCCTAAAAGDGATGTAAAGTGTGTGCTAGTAGAAAAGTGAGTCAATTCTCTTATCAGGGATCGACGAACTATGAAATCTAGAATGGATCGCTATGAGGATTGAGTGATGTGTGAATCGAATGAGTCGAGTCACTCACATAAGTGAATGAAATGAGTCATGTCAATCATATGAATCCAGTGGGATCGCGTGAGTCATATATGTATGGTGTGTATGAATCATAGATACGTATCGTATGTACGTGTCGTATGTATGAATCATACCCATGGTCTGATATCCTACGGACAACAAACGACTCAATGATGAGGATAGGACTGTGTTCCATATAAACACAGCCAAGCTGCTTTTTCTGACATAAAGGGCACAGCCCAATATCCAACTCCCAGTTGCATTCCTGTGCACCAGGGTACAAGCCCCTGACCAGGGGTCATAATTTAGAGGGGTGTACAACACATCAAAACTCATATTCCATCTGTGGCAGGAAAAAGAAAATGTTGACCCCAGGGATTTTGTTCAATTTCATTTTTACTGCAAAATACTGGTAAAAGTATCCAACCTTTAAGCAGTTACAACATTATCAAAAATTTAACCATTAGAATTTTTGAGTACACTCCTGTCAAGCCCAGTTTTTGACAGGATCCTGAATATGCCAATATTTTCAGTATCAAATGGAATGATAGTGTACCTTTTCACTGTTGAATATTGACTAGATTATTAGTAGAAATTACTACTGGGGAATTAGTTGGAGAAATGGATGAAGGACAGACAGTTCAAATTTTTGCTAAGGACTAGACTGGTTGGACTGACTGGACAAAGGACAGACTATTTCTACTGCAAATACAGTACTAGTAGTATATAATAGTCTGTTACTACCACCAGCCCTGTGTCAGCACCTTAAAGTTTAATCTGCAGACAACAATGACAGTGAACATATACTTACTACTTCTTGACTCTCAACTATGTGAGAGATGTGCATGTGAAGATTGAAAATTAGAGAGTGATTGGAAGTGTTCCTTTGCATGGGGTCTTCCAGGTACACTTTTTGCAGTGATATGCAGTAAAAATGAAATTAAAAAAATCTCAGGGGTTAAAATTTTCTTATTCCTGCCACGGATGGAATATGATTTTTTGTCCTGATGCTGAAAAACATGCGCATTGCACACCCCTCTAAATTTATGACCCCTGTACCTGACAAGGATTGGAGAAACTTGATAGTTGGGTCATGCGCAATCTGAGAGGAACCATTTAGCTGCCATCACTGCTCCTTGGGATGGATGGATCATGGACCCTGAGATGGTACATCAATGCTGCATTTGCTGTAAACAAAGACATGCAGAATCACACAGGAATAGCCATGACCATGGGTCAGGGGGCACTGTGCTCTGTATCCTCCAAGCAAAAGCTTACAACCAGGAACTCTAGAGATTTTCGGGGTGGATGAGGATGAAATAACGCAAGTGTTGTGGACCAGGTAGTACTTCCTGAAAGAACAGGGTTTTCCCTTACGCAACAATATGCTCTACCAGGACAATCAAAACACAGCAATGAAGCTGGCTAAAACTGAATGCAATCCAGTGGCAAAAAAACTCAACACATGGACATTCACTATTTCTTTGTCACTGACAATGTGGAGTACTGTCCGAGTTGTTGCCAACTACTTCACCAAGCTGCTGCACTGGAGACTATTCAGAAAGTTATAGTAGAACATCATTCTTGGGATTAAGAAGGTTGATATCCCCAACTACAACATCCAAGCATAAAAGGAGCTGGATGACTGCAAGCACCTAAGTGAAATGAAAGCAATGGAGGATGATCTTGCCAGCAAGTAGCAGAAAAAGCTAAAGGAACATGCTGCTGCTGGATAAGATCAGAGGAGTAACTCAGAACCCAAATATCACAACAGACAGGCCAGCAAACTTGTTGTTTCTAAGTAAACAGGCCATAATGATGAAGTGGTGTCACATTACCCAAATATGGAAACGGTGACCAGCAATTAAGCGAATGAGAGAGGCAGGAATGAGTGATCAAGACTTAAAGTGAAAAGAGAAAACAGCTGTGATGTGAGAGGAATTTAGTGATTATAGTGTAAAAATTAACATGCTCATTCTTTTTTTTAGTTTATTCAGTGAACAGTGTGAGAGGACATTTTAAGACTTCCCACAACTTATGCCTTCACTTGGCTAAAGTGTGGATTCAGAACTAAGGCAGTTTCAATTCTCCCACCGAGAGATCTCTACCGTACGTACGGTGCCAGTAAACTAGAAGTACTTCGTATTACAGTAGGACGAATCTTGGTCATTCGCGGTCATTATCATTACGAATTCTCTTTTTTTCTTTTTTCATGTTTCTGATTGCAAGCTCGTACGTACCGTATACGCATCTACGAGGGCTTGCTACGAAACTTAAGCTCGTAATTGTATCATGTACGAGTTGTACTACGATACCGGTAGGTAGTCGTATCGCAGTGAAAAACTCTGACCTTTGCTGCCGTTCAAGCCAAGGTTTACTAGGGATGAGCTAAAAATTCGAAACATACCGGTATCCAATCTTTGCTCATGATTTCAACAACAAACAAAGCTTTCTCACAACGTCTCTCTCTTACAAAATCCAGATCACCAAGTATTATGGCGCAAGAGCTTGAAAGAAGATTCATCTGGCATCAGTTCAGGCGATGTATTTTGCTCCTAGTTTTTGCAACTTGGGGCTGGTGTCCCGATTTTGCTGATGCCAAAACTGTAAGCGGCAAATTTCGTCTTTCTGGTCTCGACACTGAATATGTATTGGGGAGTTTCGCAGTCTCTCCCAGAAAAATGGGCACACTAAAAGTGGAGTTCAAGGCAAAAGAGCCATATGTTTCGAATAAAGAAGCTTTTGTGAGGGTTTTTCGGGACGACAAATGGGATGAGTACAAAAAGGCGCCAAGTTGTACGCAAAAAGTTCCTCTGTCACTACGGAACGAACAAGTCACTCTGAAGAAGATGAATGGTCACTACGTGGGTGAAGTTGCCATGGAGCTTAACAATCACAAAGACGAGAGAGCACATTATTATTATTTTGTCATAACCGATTGCTCATTGGAGTTTTATATGCACGACGAAATGGTACCAAAAATGTCGTATACCGTTACGACCTGGAGTAAGTATTCCATCGTCTTTGTGCCAAGATTTGTCTTTTCCGCACCTTTTTCTCTAACCATTGTAAAAAATATACGTGCTGCACTTTTCTACATCCGATATAGATGATGGGTCTCATGTGTCCGCAGATGAAATTCACCTCGAAAATTTGCACACAATTGCTTCGTTAGTGAGTGGTCTCTTAGCTCTAACTCTTTGTGTAGTGATTGGGATTCAACTTTATGAGAAGTCTACAGTTCATGCTGCTGTGTTCTTGGTTATGGCAGCTGCTGCCTCGGATTCATTTTCGAGTATGTTTGAGTTGATTCATCTTTCACTGTATGCTCACAACGGAATAGGATCTTATGCGATGGTAAGTTTTGTCATGGAAAACCACGAAAAAAAAATCGTCACTTGGTTTGCTTGGCAACGGCATTTTACTCAATTGATATCTATTCCAGGATGCACTCTCTGCTCATTTGGAAGCAGTGTGCGATTCACTTGTAGCATTATTGCTGCTGTCGGTTGCTGCTGGTTGGACTTTGCCCTCCGATGTTGTCGCAGTCAAACAAAACGCTACTGCGATACAAAAGCTTCTCGATGGTTTTCAGTCTCCTTTTGAAGCCCTTAGTGCCCTGAGTCCCACTGCGTTCTTAGCCATCGCCATATTTCTTTGCCATGTCGTTCTAGCACAGTGGGGACGAATGTACAATGATGATTTTGATTCTTACCACGACTTGGAGCATCTGCCTGGTAAATTCTTGATGCTCAATAGAATTATCCTTGGCTTTTGCATGATGGCTTGCTGTCTGTCGACTAGGATGCGATGCACACCATCCCTGAGGTCCTTTTATTTACAGCTCACAATAATTGGGACGCTTTGGTTTCTTTCATTACCATTGCTAACTTGGTTTGTCAACGCGTTGATTCCGTATCATAAGAGGCATCGTGTCGTTGGAGTATGGGCGGCCGTTTTTCAGACGTCTGGCATAACATTACTTTCCTGGCTTGTCACATCTCACTCGACATCATACCACAAGCTCTCGCATTTGAGTTCAACAAGTGACAATCTCACAGATGCTTTGTCGAGGCGGTCATCTGGGAAAGGAGAAGCTCGGACGTGGATGTTTGGCAAAAACAAAGTTCGATTGGACTGAGGTAATGCAGTTGTAAAGTTCGATGAAAAACGTACGTAATTTAGCTATATGATCCCTTCTATTCACATCGCTATGGCGAGTATTTTTTAGCAGATAGTCAAAGCTTTGATTGCATGAGAAATCCCCGTAACTCTACCAATCGAGATCACGCGGGATATCACATTGAAGTGATGTTCTGATTGAAATTTACGACCAGGAATCACCTCGAAATGCTAATTGCCTACGCCGTTCAACAATTACACCATCATACGTCCAGCATATTATTGTGTCAACATCAGGATCAAATGTGATATCAGATGATGTTGTTAGTGATTTTGAAATCGAACGACTGTGAGCTCATGACTACCAAAATACGTGGTAAAGAGGTAACTGCTGAAATTTCTCTTCTTCTCCTCCCTTTTCTCTTTTTCTGCAACTGCTGTGTTTTCTTTCCCAACTCACATAATTAATCTTCTTCCATTTTTTGCCATAGTAGTGATAACAGTCATTGCTTGATGTGTGGTGTTCATGGTCGTCAATGAAACAAACAAATCAGGACTACCAATTACCCCCAAACCACAAGGTATGATCTAAAGCCAGAAGAAATCAGACATTCACTAACAACCAAACCAAAAGCCAACAAACTTGGCAGACAATGCCAAGTACAAACAAATTTTCAGCTACAATGAAACAAAGCCACCACCCAAATATTGTACCACAGTGGCCATCATGTTACCACTGGCAACACAAACCAGAGAGAGCAATCAACCAAGCCATGCTCAGAAACTCAAAGCTCACAAAACAAATTTGTTAACAAATAAAACAACTAAATCTCCTGATCCCACCAAACATCCACCATCGTATCCACGCTGGCACCACCACCACTCTCAACAGCAATCCACAACACTATTGCTGTACTGCTAAAGGAATACCCCCTAGCCCCTACAAACAACTCAGAGACCCGGAACCAAGGCCATCTCTATCTAGCAATCCTGGACAACAACAGCATTGCACTGCTAGTGTTTGCTCTGGGACACATCAAACATCCAAGCCATCACCCTCCACCCAAACAAATCCAAACTTCTTGCCTTCCAGCAGTGCCACCAAGCCCTAGAACCTAAGAATAAGAAGTGTCCCCAAATCACAGGACCAAATGGCACCAAGCAAGCACTCAAAACTCCTATTACTAGTAATAGTAGTATTACTAGTCATAGTACTACTAGTAATAGTACCAAAAATGTTCATTTGATATCCAACAAAATGGTATTTTCAGAATAAGCATAAAAACTATTCTGCTAGATAGTATCTTCAAAAATTATAAAATAGTATTTTTTATGAAGTTATTCATAATTGAAAGCTGAGTAGTTTTACTAGTATTATGTAGTAAAAATGAGCATTCAAAAAATCCTGGGGGGACTTTTTGCAAATGTGGACCACACATGAAATAGGAGATTTTGGTGTGGTGGAGTGTGGTGCGTTGTGCTCCCCTCCAAATTCATGATCCCTGGTGTCGTATGTCACATAACTGTGGAGGAGCTCACACAGCACACATACCCAAATTGTAACCAGAAAATGTACCTGTGGAGCTCCGTGTTATTATTATGAGGGAATTTTGTACTGCGCATTCTCAAGCTAGTGCTTGGCTTGCATGGAACCTTCTGCAAACAGCTTTATTAAGTATCTGAATAGAATACTGATACAAGCAAGTCTGCTGATCATTACCTTTATAATCAGCAATGATTAGATATCAGTATATTATTCTTCATGCTACTAATTGGTATGCAGCTGATATTTTTTCTGGGAGCTACTACTATTTGCTCCTCCCCAGCAGCAGCAAGCTCCTCACTACTAATAGCAACAAGCAACAGAAACTGCTCCTTTGCTTGCAGCAATCAGATTGCTGACACAATAAAGCACATCCATTGACGCTGGTGCTGGTGCTGGTGCTGGTGCCTTGTCAACTACTGCAATGTTGTAATTAGCTGTTGTTGAAGCTTCAGCTGGTTCTCTGCAGACTCAAGCTTCTTTTCAAGTGAAGCACTCTTGGATTTCTCCCATTCAAGATCCTTTGCTCTGAACTCATCTCTCTCCTTGTGAATGACAAGCACATGTTTCTTTGCCTGAAACTCGTTGGCAAGAGCACAGACAGTCTTCTTTGTGTCTTTGAGTTCCTTGGCAAGGTCAAGATGTAGTTTCTTGATAATACTGCTAGTACTATTGGGGGGGACGCCTGGTCAGCTTTTCTTTTCTTTTTGCTGCAGCTGCAGCAGAAGCTTTTTCAGCTCTGCAAACACTTCAATTTTCAAGTCAGTTCTGGGGGACAAGGAAGAAGGCCTTTCAGTGTCATTCTCAAAAGATTCCAGTGATGGAACAAGACTCTTGGTACTAGCTGCTGACATCAGGGGGGCAGGCTTCTTCTGGTCCTTCTTCTTCTTGGTGTAATTGAATCCAGAATGCAAAGAGCTCTGCACTCTTTGATGAGTCTTTGAGGTTGCATGGTCATATACTTGAGATGACTTGGCACTTCCATGCCTGAGATGATTCATCTTGAGCTTCTCAGGAATGTTCAGACGCCAGCACAGTACAGCAGCAACACCTATTGTCATGAGGGGTAAACTTTTTGGCATTCTTGTACCCATTTGCCAAAGCTATTTTCTTCACCCACTTCCAAACTGCATCCTGGCCAACTGGCATGTCTGCCTTGAAGTAATAGGGACTATCCTTTGTCTGGTTCTCATTGACATAGCACAAGAACCTCTCTTGAGTGGGATGGCATCTCTGTCAATAGAAGTTAATCAGCTCGATAATACAGTATGGATTGTTCTTATCCTCCACAACCATTGGGGAACATTTGACTCACAGTTAGAGTGCTCAAGCCAAGAAGCTATTTTCCCTTGTCAAAGCCTCCCCCCAGAGCAACAACAACATATCAATCACCCTCCAATTTTCCATAGGGGAATTGACCAAGCTTCATGAACTTCCATTCAAGGAAAACAATCTCATCCCTTCTGTGGAGGCCAATCTGTCTCCCAGCAAGCTCCATTGTCATTATCTTCAGCAAGTCCTTCATGTCTTCATAAGGCATGTACACTCCAGAGGTCAGCAAGTTCATGAACTTTGAATCTCCAAATTCATCAAACTGAGCTTTGGTCCTCTTGGTTCCTGGTGTTGGATCCACAGCTCTTTTTTGTTGAAGTCAAGCTTTAAAGCACCAAGAAGGAACATTCTGGTCCCTTTGAAGTCAGCTTCATTAACACTGAAGCATACACTGAATGAGTTTTCCTGTCCAGGGTCTCTCCAGTCTTTGTGTTCTTTATGTTGAGTGTCCAGATCATTAGCGCTTGACTCATTAGGGTCCTCTTGAGGGCATCTGGTTTACCAGCTACATTCTTGTAGAATAAATAGTCTTCAGTTAATCCATCATTCATATGAACCTTCTTGGTGAACATCTCAAACATCAGTTTGTCTCCAGGAGTGTTTTTTGCTGGATCTATAGCATCAAGTATAGCATGAACAAAGTAATTAAGGCATCATTTTATTTTTGTTGCATACCCCTTTCTGTTTGATTCAGCAGTGGCAAACTCATCACTGCCCAATGTGTTGAAGGCGTTAGGATTGTTAATCAGCTTGTTCTTTGCTTATTCAATCTTTGCTTTGTCTTCTTTGTTCAGAGGGCATGTGGCAGCAGCAGCTGCTGCTGGCATCAGTTCTAGTGCTGGTGGAACTGTTTTCTTCATTGTTGCTACTGCTTTCTGATTTGCTGGTGCCTTCTTCTTGTTGTTCATCTTGGATACAGCGTGTTTCTTCTTGTTGTTTGCTGTGCTGTATAGATTTTGGATTGGTGTTCTTTTATTTACAGCAGTTGGTTTTGCTGTTGTCTTGTCTGCTTGATCAAGAGATACTCTTCTTGGTTTAGTTTTTGTTGTTGTTTCAGCAGCTGTTGCTTCTTCTGGTGCCAACTGGATGGGTTTTGGTGGCACTGGCACTGGTATTTCTTTTGGTAGAACTTTTGGTGCTGGTGGAGCATTATTTTGCCAAGAGACCTCAGCACCAACCCCCTTTCAGTATGGATCCATTGCTTGCTGAGAGGAGAACAATTTGCTGTTTTTTGCTACTGTACTGAGACATTTCTCTTGAGCTCCTCTCTGTACATTCTGGCCATGCGCCACAGTCAAAAATCTTGTCGTCATTCTTCTTGGTAGGAGCTGGGGCCTTCTTTGCCAGAGGTGTGGTTGACTTGATGCTTCTGGTCCTCATGGTCAATCAATGCTGCTGGTTTTGTGGCATGCTTTTTGTTTTGTTTTGCTTGTTCCCCACTGCAAATAGTAGTAGCGTGTTTTCGATATTTCTACTACTACTAGTAGTAAGCAAATTTCTACAAGAGTTTGTACTGGAATAGGAAAAAAATCAGTTTTCAATCAAAACTGGTCATAATTTTGGTCAGTACTTCTACTACTGTACTTTGTACAGCTAGTATTCAGTACTGAATATTGTGAGCAACCACCAAGACAGTTTTTAGTACCTGGTGCTGTTGAGGTGTGGTGCACAGGAGCATGTTTGTTACAGCAAGCACAGCACTGTGCCCTTTGATTGCAAACAGACCCACTTTTTTATACAACCAGACTAGTACTACTAGTAGTATTGTGGAGAAAAGAATGGTCTCTCTATGAAGGGATTGGTTTCAACTCCTGGTTACAAAAACTCAGTCCACACAGTTTGTAACCAGGTTGAGGTGCCTGTATTTCAGCATAAAAGTAACTGTTAGTGTTTGTACGCCCGATCGTGTACTGTGGTGTACTGCAGGGGTCATAATTTAGAGGGGTGTGCAACAAATTTTTTTGCGCATCATGAAGCACGAAAAAAAAGTGAAACTCATATTCCACGTGCGGTCCAAATTTCCAAAAAGTCACCGAAGGAATTTTTTTCATTCTCATTTTTACTGCATAATACTAGTAAAACTATCMAACCTTTAAGCARTTACAGCTTTATCAAAAATACTACTATTTTAATTTTTGAGTAGCCAGTCTAGTCCAGTTTTTAATGCTGATTCTGAATATACCATTTTGTCGGATATTAAATTGATATTTGTAGTACTATTTTACTATTGAAAAATGAACATAATTTTCCACAGTAGTACTAGTAGTAGTTTTACTAGTAGTAGTAGTAGCTGGTAGTAGAACTACTACTCTATTACCACCACCACCACCACCACCACTACTCCTACTGCTATTACTAGTAGTAGTAGTAGTAGTAGTAGTAGTAGTAGTAGTAGTAGTAGTAGTAGTAGTAGTACTACTACTACTACTACTATTGCAACAAACAAGCATCTTGGTTGCATGCTACTACTAGTAGCACCCACTGCTACTATGTTTCACCTTAGTAGTACCAGTAGTAGTAGTAGTAGTAACTAGTAGTAGTAGTACTAGTAGTACTGCAAGGCATCTTGGCTGAATGCTAGTACTAGTAGTACTACTACTAGTACCCGGTACTACTACTAGTACTAGCACTACTACTAGTAGCACTACTCCTACTACTATGATCTGTTTCACCTTAGTACTACTAGTACTAGTAGTACTAGTAGTAAAACTACTAGTACTACTGTGGAAAATTATGTTCATTTTTCAATAGTAAAATAGTACTACAAATATCAATTTAATATCCAACAAAATGGTATATTCAGAATCAGCATTAAAAACTGGACTAGACTGGCTACTCAAAAATTAAAATAGTAGTATTTTTGATAAAGCTGTAACTGCTTAAAGGTTGGATAGTTTTACTAGTATTATGCAGTAAAAATGAGAATGAAAAAAATTCCTTCGGTGACTTTTTGGAAATTTGGACCGCACGTGGAATATGAGTTTCGACGCGTTGCACACCCCTCTAAATTATGACCCCTGGTGTACTGTACGTACCTGTTTAGTAACCAAACTTGCGTGAGTACATGGTACGTAATGTTGAGTCACTCAACGAACGCTACGGTACGTACTGTAACGGTTACTGTACTACCGTACATACTTTTTTTTAATTTGTTGCGCGTGTGGTGAAGTGCTAATTGAAAATCCTCATTTTTTGCCTAGTACGAAGTACTTGTACGTACGTACAGTAGTACTGTGTTGATTTTAAACTTTGTACTGGACAAGTATCCTTCCCACCACTTCACAAGACAGAGCGAACATTAAACATGTACCGGTAAGCGGACAACACAATCGGTACGAGTACCATACATTTGCCAACACCAGACTTCACGAGTTCATCGTCTTTTCTCGATGATTGTAAAGGGCCGTCATCATAGATGTCACACGTGCTGTATTCCGCGAAGTCGAAGCATCAGATCGATGGAATACTGGAATGGTTCGTCACTGACCAGAAGACCACCAACGACACTCCACGATACCTCAGTGCCTATCGATGTTATTGGAACATCCGATGTTTTTTATGGTACCCTAATTGCATTGGTTTTGGGGCTCACGGCATCGTTTCTCCAGGGAAGAAGAAGCAGGGATGACTTCGCTCCTAATGAATTACCGAACATGAACATGACATCGTCAGCTGTTGTCGGCAACAAAGATGACACGTTTTCGACAGACAACGTTATTTTCGACGCTGACTCTTGGAAAGAAATGAGTCGTCCAGAGAGTTATGTATTCTACAATCAAAAGTTGAAAGAAAGGAAATCAAAATCTTTGAAGTCAAAATTCAATTCCGAAAACGCGTGGGTATTGATTGCTTTATTAGTATTATTTGTACCAATTTTCTCTGTGGAATTCTTCTTCGCCCTGAGCCGGCAATTGATCTGTGCAAGTGACCCCATGAACCAATCTGATTTATCGGCGTTCCTCTGCTCACCTGCAATGCCTTTAACTGAATAACTTAATTTTACGAAGGAACAAGTGAGGATATTTGGGCAGGAAAATTGTGATGTGTTACGTAATCCTAGACGTAAAATATCTTGGCTAATCCTACCCGCAGATTTACACACGCAATGGAGACGACTAGTCTCCTTTTCATATTTCCTTCGGATTGTAATGACATAGTCTTTTCTTAGGCAGCAGCTGTTGGAAAATGTTTCTAATGCGATAATCAGGAAACAGGGAAACAAGAAAATTATCAATATTTCTTGTTATTGCCCTTGAAGTCGAAGTAGCATTACGATTACTCTTGCTGCTGGTAATACTACTACTACCAGCAATCATCCTAAAAATTCTTTTACTCTGATGAAAGATTGTGCCTGGAGGAATCCCAATTGTAAGTTATTTAACATTAACAGCTGTTGAGGACAATAACAGTGCTAGAAGCAGATTGAAACTATAACTCCATTACTCTGTGAGTTGTAGGTTTTCTCCCCCCTTGACCACTAGTAGTATTGATCTATTTTAAACTTGATGACACTCTACTACCAATATGATAACCACCAGTGCTAAAATCTTGATGATGATATCCTGTCTCTACTACTATTTAATACAAAAAGTGTGGTGGTGGTTTGCATGTTCTTGTACTACTTGCTCTTGTTCTTGTTCCCCTGCTGCTCTGCAATCAGTAAACAATGCTGAGTAAATTGATCTATCATTGACTTTATTTGTGAGGATGATATGATGAAGAAAGGCAAGTTTTTGGCTCATGTTTTGCAAAATACTGGTGTGATTATTGTGTAGAGTGAGCACCCAAATCTATGCACCAGTTGTAGATTTTGGACCCTTATGTTTTGTGTCTACTAGTAGTAATGACTAGTTTGATTAAAAAACTAAGAAATATGTACATAATGCACCAGCTCAGTAGTGTTGAATTTTTGAATCCCACAAATTATGTGAGTTGAGTTTTGCATACAGGTGCTCACAAACATATTATGCATCTCTCAAAATAACCTGAGAACCTGAAAAATTTACATGTGCCTTTTCAGTGCCAAAAATGCATGTTTACAATATAGAGTGAGCAGAACAACTGGATGTATATAGCAGAAATGTTACATGTTAACATCCTGGCTATGGCAGGCAGGTACCCCTCATACTACTGTTGGAAAAATACCTCAGTACTAGTAGGAGTAGAAAAAGAAACATTAACAATATTTTTTCTCAATTCAGAATTTTGAACATAACCATATCAATTGGCTTAGGGAGGTGGGTTTTCCCTTTCCAAAGGGGGTGTCACCATGGTTGGATGTTAGAAGGCCTTGGTCAGGTATGTATGTAGTAACCTAGGTGATAATTTTCAGAACCCAAGTGTAAGTTCATGAGTTTGAGAAAATTTCTTTTGAAAATTAAAATGAAACCTTGACCACATACTACTCAATAATAAATTGGTAGTTCAACATCCGTTGAGTGACAAATTAGGTAATGTCTTCCAAGGAGAAAGGTGTCAAAAAGCAGATACTTTGGCAATCAATTGAAACTATATTTCACAGGGTGTTCCCAATCTTAATTAAACATGCTGAATGTTAATTTAAAATAAGGAACGTTATTATGTCACTGTAGGCCTACATGGATCATAGTATTCCAATAATCAATGTGGTAGGGCGCTACCTTCCAGAACAACTGTTTGGATCGTGCACATACCTTAAAAATGAGGAAGATTCAGACTGTTAAGCGGACCATTCAGGACGTTAAATTGAAGCAAAAACTGCAGTACTCATTTCTACATAGCTTATGCTGCCAACATTTGGAATGTTAAATTACCATTGGGAACGCCCTGTGAAACGTAGTTTCAATTAGTAAATTTGAACACTTAAGACACTCGTTGATACTCTATCAAGCTAGTATTAGAATTTAGAAAAGTTGAACACTTCACAAACCCAGCAAAAATATCTCAAGGGATAATATGAGGAGTATTTCCTGTAATGAGTATATAGTAAGCCCATCAGTACTGAGGACAGTCATGTAGGATCAGTACTGAGAATCACTCATGAACCCACAGGACCAAATCTATGGTACAAGACCGGAAATACAAAGTTAGAATCAATTGTGAGTCCCTGGGACTGAACCTATACATATAGGTTCCAGTCTAGACCCTATATACTATATACTACATAGACTACTACATGTTACATATGAGAGCATCAAGAATATGAATTCTCCATGACATCACCTTCTAACAGAATCAGAAGCAGAACAGAACCAATGAGTTACCACATCAACAATGAGTTCTGTTCTGAAGCCCCTCAGTAGAATCTCTACAAAGATACAGGGGATCAAAACTACAAAAACTAGTTCCTGATTGACTACAACATGGGAAACTGTGTAGAAGGAGATCTAGATACACACATCAAATAATTCATTGTAATTCAGTTTAAACACTATTCTAATCCTTCAATACATGTTATTTTGTGTACAGTAATTTCTAACCACATTATCATGTGAAGAAACCAACATAAAAAAGCAACAATGGTTAAAGCAAGCCACTTCTCCTGTCTCTTCCTGAAGAATCCCTTCCAAGCAGACAAGATGAAGAAGAAAACCCTCACCATGAACCACGACAACAACAACAAGAAGCTCACAGCAATCTGTCTAATGTTTTCCAGAGACCACGGAGTTCAGGACCTACTTTATGTTGAGGAAGCCTTCACCAACGTCATCAAGGACCTTGAACTGACAGGAGACACCATTAATAAGACGTGGCAAATGGTCCTGGAACATGGGCCTAGAAAGAAGTGGAACAAGCTTTGGGAAGGAGATACCCCCTTGAACATTGGAAGAGACAGTGCAGCCAACTGGAAGAGAGCACTAGTGACATTCAAGAAAAGGTATGCTCCAGGTCAGGATGCCCAAGACAGTGTAATCAGCTACCTCCATTTGGATGAGATCAATAAACCACCAGGTATCTCTTGCCAAGCACAGGTTGACAGGATCATCTCATGCTGTGAAAGAGCCAACACACTACATGGAATCTGAAAGGGACTGGATGAGATGGAAATCAAGCTCATTGTCTTCCAGTCATTCCCCCCACAGTGGTGCACTGGCTACAAACTCAGTGGTAGGAACATTTTGGAGGATACCATTGAGGAAATAGTGAAGTACATGAATGATCAAAAAGGCGTCACAGATGAGGACACTGGAAGGAAACGCCCATTCAGCAACAATGATGAGAAAAGGAGTAAGAAACATGATAAGAAGAAAAGCAAGTCCTTCTTTGAGAAAAGAATAACAAAGAAGAAAGGCAGACGCTGTCCCCTGCAGAAGACACAAAGGAGCTCACTTGTGGGCAGAGTGCCCAGATAACAGAACGAACAGAAGAAATGTAGGCAGAGGCTGTGGTGGAAGAGGATTCCAAGGAAGAGGAGGCTTCCAGGGAAGAGGCTTCCACAGAGGTCGTGGAGGCAATCATCACCATTCTAGCACTGGTGGCTCCTACTACCAACTCACCTCCGAGGGAACCTTTGTCCCAGTGATGCCCACAGCTCAGGCCTATCATGTAGTGCCAGCATCAGGTGGCCCACAGGGACCACTCAGTCACATTTTATTACATTTAAGCCTACCAGCAAGCCACCAGCAACAAGGCAATGCTGAGGCCTTCTATGCTCACCCAATGGGCCCAGCAAATCAGAAGTGATGACTGCTGCTGGTGGAGACAGAGTCTGGATCAGAGTGCTTCCTTACTCTGCCTCCACCCCCTACTACAAAATCTCCAGAGCCATCTGAAGATTTCACCATCCACACTACTAATGAAGAGTTTAGGAAGGCCTACAGCGCCCTCCCTAGCAAGGTTGATGATCCACTTCACAATCCAAAACTCAAGACCCTCAAAGGTCTCAACCCAGATAAACTTCCAGTGGTGATTATGGTGGCCAAAACTATTCAACAGATTCCAGTGATGAGGCCTTTGTGAGTTCTCCTTGACAGCAGCAGTACTATGTGCCTGATTCACAAGCACTGCCTTCCTCCAGGCACAGTACCCAGCAAGGATTTCAGATTCAATGTGACCACAACAGCTCAAGGAAGCTTTGATATCTCTGGATATGTGTTCATTTCACACATGTGCTTGCCTGAATTTGGAAATGCCAAGTGCATGAGGGGGATAATGCAAGGCTGTTCAATGCACCTTGCAATTATGACATGATACTTGGAAGAGACTTCCTCAGTGGCTCAATAGGTCTATCAAGATGAGACCACCAGATCATTTCGATGATCCCCAGAACAAAGCAGATGCTTTGTGGCTGGCTGAAGATGATGAACTATTTGGTGGAGACTTCCTAGAGTTCAATCTGCCATCCAGGGAGAAAGCCGAGACCTTCCTGGCAGGACCCCAGTCCGGGGGTGCTAATGTCACACAGATTCTTGATGCAAAATACCAAGCTAAATGAAACAATATTTGTCAACCTCTTGTTTTCAGAAAATTTATACCTGTCAGATGTCTCAATATCTACCAAAGGCACATTATTTGCCAAATGTTTGTCTTGATGAAAGTAGGTACCAAACATCATGTGATAAATCTGTAAAAACATTATTTGAATGCATTTCCTTCTGGTTTCAAGCAGGGCAACATCACGTGATGAAGATTCTTATGTGGTTCTATTCTCTGAAAGAAGCTTTTCCTGGAAATAATGCTGAAGTACATTTAGTAATTCTATGTACTCCCTGTGCAACTCCTCATGGTGTTCCACAATTCTCTCTACAGCAATTCCAACTGCTGTTTGATGCTTTGTTTTGTCAGAGCTAGAAATTTCCTTTGATTCTTGTTGTTGTTGTGATTCTTGAGTGAGTGGCAAGCTGCTATGAAACACTGTATCCTCCTCCTACATACTAGCAGTGACCTCCTTAAAATTATTATTGTTATAATCAGTAACATCTCTCCTGCAAACAGGAAAGCTGTCATTTTTTCTTGTGAGGATACCTGGTCAGGAAATGTATAGAATATCTTGACCTATTACAATAGGTATACAACTGTTGGTCTAAAATTTCACCATTTTTGCAATAACCATCTCCTCCTCTTTAGGTGTGATGTTTATATGATTGTTCACACTTGTGCATAAGGAAACAAGAAGAGGAAGAGGGGGTTCAGAATGACATGGCAGAGAGACAATGAAACAGTACTTGTGAAATGGCTAAAATGATTCTGTTCTGCAGAAATATGGATTGCAGAAACTCACTGGTGTTGTTATTTTGTCATCTGGATTTGTGCCTCCTCTTTTTCAGTAATGCTGTCTGAGCTATCATAAAGTTCAGGAAAAAACAATCTGCATGATTACAATCCTCTCTTTATTAGGAACAAATGTTGACACTTATCTCTATTGAGTAGGCATTGGAGATGAAGACACAGTTAAACTTCAGTTTAACTGTCAGTTCAAGATCAAAACTGTTATTGCACTAAAAAATACTATGCATGGATTTTGGTCCACTAATGAACTATGGTCAAACTAACTGACCAGCTTGCTCAACTGCCATTTTTAGCTAACTAGTTAGGAGACTAATTGTGCCAACTCAAATTGGCAAGGCACCCCATTGATTCATTTGTTCTGTCTCCAGTCCATCAGGAGGATGAGTGGTGAATAAATCACTGGTACTCACATTGCAATGCATCAATCACATTCCCTCCTCAAGGAAACAACTGAGAACAATACCTCCTGTGCAGAGTTCAACCCCAGCTAAAAATGGAGGATACTGGAAAAAGCAGCAGCGACAACAGGGGCAGTAAAAGAAGTAAACTGAGCAACTCAAAACATCAGACTTCCTTGTCAAAGAACTACACAAAGATATATACCATTGATACACCAACAGCTCACCAGACTCAGCAATAACACGCCACAGGGGACTGTTTCTTTATCTCCATCAAAAGCAGAGGGCAAAGTTAAACAGGAGGAATGCAAAGATCAAGAAGGCAAGGGACCAAGCAAGGTTCCTGGTTTATGAACAACCCAAAGTGTTCACAAAGAAGACCTGGCTGCCACAGCACAAGCTCCCAATTGTGCAGGGCAACATGGAGATGAAATGGCACTCAGCAGCAAAGGCAAGGGAAGCTGCAGAGTTAATCAAAGGTATTGATCCAGGGATTGGTTGGAAGATACAAATTGTAATAGATGTTGATCCATCAGGGATTGGATGGAAGGTTCAAAGAGTAATGGATTGATCTGCTCCTCCTCCAAAACCACCAGACTCTCTCCTGCCCAAGATCCTTTCCAGTCCCTCTTTGCCTCTGGTATAGTTTGAAATGAATCAAGACTGGAAGTGGACCAAGGACTGGAAATAGGATAAGAAGCCCACTCCATACAACAAAGAACTGAATTATACCAGTGTTGGCTGTCTAAAGTAGACTTGCCTAAAGAAAAGAGACCTTGCAAAGATCATTGAGTTGGGAAGATTCGCAAAGTCACTCTTGCCTCCAACAATGAAGGTTGTGCATAGACATGAGTGGTTCCTTGAGATCTACAGGACTGTAATGGAAAAGGGAGAACAACAACGCTCATTTCACTATCTGTGAAAAAAACTTTGCCTATAATGAATGGTGGAATCCCAGCACTATGGATCAGACCTTCATGCAGGACTATGATGACTATGAGGAGTTGCACTATGAGGAGTTGTATGGATCAGACTGGAGCTCAAGTTGAGGAGACCACCCACCACTGTAGATTTTTGCTGAGGATACTAGTATTGTGGATTTGGACTTTGCAAGAAAGGATAATAAGCAAACACATCTGCAACCAAATCAGAATCTGATTCAGCAACTGAGTAAGTCGTTGAATTGTATTAGTAGATCAATTGATATTTAAATTAGTAGTTCTTATTTTCTAGGCTTCCTGCACTGCTTCCATTTGTCCAATCACTTCACCAATCACATTGTTTGGTGTAAATTCAGTACTGGTAATATCAACAGTTGGTTGAATGAGTTCACTGTCAACACATGCCCTAGTAATGTTGGTAGGTGACAAAACAACATTGTCCTCATTTGAATTGGTTGCAGTGCAAGTATCATCCTTGTCTTCAATATCCAACAAAGTTACCTCTCAACTCTTTTCTTGTTTCAACCAACTAGGCTCTCCTATCTTTTGTTTTCTTATCATTTGTAACCCTAGATCAATAGTCACCTCTTCCAAGCCCAAACCATTCATAATTGTGGTGGTTGCTGTGACAGAATTTGCAAATTCAATTGCCATTGCAATCCCTCTTATCAGAATCAACATTGGAGCACAGTGGTACTTTGCAAAGACTGCACGTACTGTATGTATTTGCACCACACATATTAAATGTTTTTACTCCTTGACTTTGTAAGCTTCATTGCCTTTGGATGAGTTGCGCTGCGTGAAGAAAAATCTACCATTTTGCTTGTTTTCAGCAATGGTTTGTAAGTTATGGTAATCAAGCACTTGTCATTTCTTGTGAAGTTTTTTGAAGACACTTTTGTATACTGCCTCAGCAGTCTACTGTCACAGTTATATGCCTCTTCAACAGGACCATATTTGATCATCTGCAACATCAGCATCTGGAAAAACTCACAATAGCTCATTATGTTGCTTACCTTCTATCCTTTACCAAGACTGCTATCACAGCACTCTCTGTACATGTCATATGCTGTGGCAATTGCCAAGGGTTTTGCATGGTTGATAGCAGCATGATAATACTTCCACAGCTTGTACTGAATTTGTGCTATAGAGATGTAGGCATCAATATGATCCAATTTACCATAGCTCCACAGGTAAAGCTCATAACACTTATTCATTTCAATGCCCCACCTTCTCTTCTAATTTCCTCTGCCCCTTTCCTTTTGTGATGGGCTTTGCAAGACACAATGCCTTTATTCTCTGCTTCCCATTGGGACCCCCTGCATTATTCTTGTTGTGAAAGTACTTGCCAGGAACCATGCAAAGTGATCTTTTCTTTGCCACAGTTCCCATCATTTCCAATCCTTGCCTGCCCATCCAATCCAAGATGGAGTCAGAGAGGAAGAAATTTTCAGCTGTGAAACAAGGAAATGATCTCCAAAGGTTGCCAGGTCCAATATTGCCAAGGATAAAGGCTTCAACTAGACGATAAACTTCAGTAGGCCAAACATGAAAGGAATGCCTTAGATCTTCACTGGTCCATCCAAGATATCTGATGTGCTTCCACCATGTCCTGGGCCTGATCCTATTCACATGAGATATGAGAACAGTTTTCCCTCCATCATATGGAGCTTTTCAGTCCATTTCAATACCTCTATTCATCAATGCAATGTCAAGGTGAGATTGAAACTTTCTCTACTATTGTGTTTTGATTTGTGTATTTTCCATTCCTTCATAAACTTGTCACATGCTAGATAGCTTTGGAAGTGGGAAATCTTCTGCTGTGTGTGATCTAACCCTCTCATTTGTCTGGACAATGGTTCCAGCTGAAACCCATCTATATTCTTCATATAACTTGGTCACAATATTCATTGTATGGTAGAAGCTGTCCATGAACAGTTGATGGGCATTATCTTGTCCAAGATTGGATTGACGTACCAACTGCTGAATAATATCCCATGTATACCCACTACTAATACCAGTGTAGATCTCAAATGCAATTAAGTACCCAGTGTCAGCATCACACACACAGTCCACCTTAATACCATGCTTGATTGGCTTCTTGGGAAGATACTGGACAAATCAAATGGATCTTCCTTTGTAAACAATCATAGACTCATCAACAGACAGGTCAATATTTGCATGTCACCCAAGACAAAGACAATCAGCAATTTTCTCCATCACAGTCTGGATTTTGTAGAGTGGGTTGTCAGTATGATTAGCTTGGCTTCTGTTGTCACCAAAATGAATTTATTGTCTAACAAAGCCAAATCTGTTCTTGCCCATTGTATTCCTGACCATGGGAACATAGACACCACCATCCTCAAGACAAGTCCAAAGAATTTGGGGAGATTGTTTTGAACCACCCAAACCTCCATAGCAGATGCATATACAAAGCCAGGTAAGGATGTAACCAGAAGTGAAGTCCCATTGGTCTTTGACTGAATGTATTTCAATCTTTTGTTTGTTGGGGGATTGGTGACATCACAGAGCTTGAGCATCTTTGTCTTCTTTACCCTTCCATTATCATCAGTAGCTTCAACTTCTGTCACCCAATCTTCAAACGCATACCAGTTGGACTCATTTGCTATCAGCTGAAGGATTTTTTTATCAAACAAGAACAAGAACAAACACGCCAACCMCTCCACCTTATTTGTCCAGCCATTGGTGGTGGCTTGCAATATGAGTAAAAATATCCCAGCTCAATATGGTTGCAATCATTAAAACCTACAGACAACTGGAGGATTGCACACTTTGGACCACCAGTCTCAACATCAAACAAAACCCAAATGACTCTTGATACTTCCAGCAGTACTACTAGTAGTACTCCTAGACACAGCTGATCAACTCCTCTTGGGTGGACTTGGATCTTTGCTGGAGTCATGTTGTTGTTCAAAGAATTGCACAAGATTCCTGACACCAGAAGATTGACGCTGAGTTATGTTGTTGTTGCCATCTTCTTCATCATCATTGTTGCATGCTCCTTCATCACCTAAAGACATGTGTGTACCAGCAGGAGGAATTTTAGTGGAACTCATGAGAATTGAGGAGTCCTGGAGAAGATGTTCCAACTCATCCTGCTCCAGATCAGATGAATCAGAGAGGTCAAGGTCAAGAAGTTCTTGAATTTTGTTGAAGGGAGCATTGTAGTAAGGGGCACCAGAAAGGACTTCCAAGAGAACCATTGGTATCACCAATCGAAATACTGTTGTCATCTATGGAGGGGCTTCTACTGGGAGGGCGGGGGCCACAACTACCTTTGTCAGATAGACAATCATCATTGCCATCAGAAAAAAAAGAATCATGATCATCATCCATTGTGGTGATATGATTATTTTATGTTGGTAAATATGATGGTGGTTTGTGTGATATTAGCAGTAGTTTATGTTTGGGGTGTTTTATATTACGAGAAGAGAAATAAATGGGCAGAAAAGATGTTTTAAAATTGTTCTAAACTTTTTTTGGTATATCAGTCTTATTTTGTGTAGGATCTGTACTGAAGTCTACACAGGTGAAGAGAGGTTCACTATTGGAAAATCATGGAAACTAAGAAAAAAAACCAAAAATGCACAATTTGGACGGAGACGGGAAAATGTTAACTGTATTTTGCTAGCCTCAACAAGAGGACCATCTTAATAGCTGACAGGAGTGTTTGTATCAGTTCTAGTGTTATTGAGGTGATTGTCGAGAATTACTCTCCCGACTTGTGTTTTTTTTTCATAGAATTTGCCTTCTTATGGTGCGCCATTGTGTGAGTACTTGTTCTCTTCTTCAATCACCGCTATACTTCTAGTAGCAGCTCAGTCTTGTGAAGCTCTGTCTACAAGATCGACATGTCTTATACTGTGTTCTACATGGTTGCATTTTTAGTTGATATTCCTTTGGGTAGTATGGTACTTGCCTGGTAATGTGTTGTTTCCTAATGTCCCAAATTCACAAGGGGGGGGGGGCGGGAATTTTCTCATTTTTTCCAAAAATCGAAATCGACATGGTTGCAGACTTCTTTTGTCAAAAAATTCTGTCTGTCAAAATATCGATCATGTTAGACAGACTTAGAATCCTGCCCATCACGTCAATTCTCGAAGAAGCATCACTCAGGTTAGCATTGCGTTGCTCCATCTTCAAACCCAACAGAAAAAGATGAAAACGAACCCAGTTGTGATCATTTGCCCAGGCAATGGCTGCTCCGATATACGTAACAGCAACTGGTACGGTAAAGTCTTTCACGAATTGAGTAAAAGAGATATCAGGTGTGTTTGTGAGGATTTTCCCGACCCGTTGCATGCACGACGAGATCGTTGGGTACCTCACATGAGGTCACTGGCCGAAAAATACGGACCGTCAGGGCGTCCGGAAAACATCGTGCTTGTCGGTCACAGCTCGGGCGCACAAGCAGCTCTAAGATACACTGAAATGTACCCGGCACACGCATGTATCTTAGTGTCTGCAACATACAGCGATCTCGGCGATGCTCACGAACGCGCCTCGGGGTATTATCCCCAGAAACAGTTGGGCGTGACCGAGGAGATCAATGCATACAACTTTTCAAAGATGAAAATGAATTGCAGAACATGGCACCAGTTCCATTCTGATGATGATCCTTACATCCCTGTCTCTGAAGCACAGGCTATACAAGAAGGGTTGGGTCTTACCGATACATTTTACTTATTGCATGGTCGCTCTCATTTTTTCACCTTCCAACCAGAAATACTGGAGTGCATTTTATCGGTCTGCTAATTCTTTGAATGGACATCAGTCGAGAAACCATATCGGAATATAATAAAGTAGTTCTACAAATTAGTTTTGGTAGTACGTTCTATGGTTTCTTCAGAGCTATGTCATCATCCACAAATCGATCTTCGAATTCACCGTCAGCATCAAATCTGCACTCGTTTCTCATCCCCATCAATCGATAGCGATTGTCGGCAACGCTGTCATAAATAATGTCTCGCAAAAGCTTTGGAAGTAGGAATCGACCAGCCATTGCTGCCGGTTTCAGGGGCAAAAGTGACAAGGGGGTCAACTCTTCGGTAATCTTGAGAACAGCATCTGATTTCACAAATGCTCCATCTTTTGTTACAAGAACAATAGAACTGATGTCATCTGCTTTTCTACCATTGTTTTCTAGTAACGACTTTCCAACATTCGATTGAAGAGCCGAAAATCGTAACTTTGCGTTGGGATCCCAGTCGAGGGCAAGGTTTACGGCATTATTGCACAGATTACATACACCATCGAAAAGTATTATGGGCCGTTTGTCGGTATCGAAAACCCGCGACGATACGACCGCTGGCTCCAGAAGACTAGCATCGCCGGATTCCCGAGTCACTGGCGATTGCATCGATAGATTCTTTATTCTAATACGATGTTGTAATCCATAAGAGTTGACCGAACGAGCACGAAAGGCACTTCCCCTAGGAACGTGCGACATCATCGTTGACATCAGTAGCAGGAGTTTGAGCAGACAAATATTCAGAATCATTTTGAAAGGCATGATGTGAAACTTTTTGCTACGACGCACGGGGGGTTGTGTCCATTGCTTGTCGTTGTGAATTGGTGATTTCGACATCTCCGTTGATTGTTCCTTTCTGCTTCCAACATTACTGTAAAGCGAATTTTGTGACAAAAGTCTGACTCAGTTGTTTTTTGTTTTGTTACCGTACCGTACGGTACGAGTTTAATGTGATTAAAATGCGTTAACCGTATGAACCCTACCACGTCCTACAGGGCAAAAAGGCATTCTACTCAAACCTCAATTTTTTTATAAAATTGCACCTAGAATTAACAATTTTCAGCCACCCACTACTGTAACTTTGGCTGGTCTAAAGTTTTGTTTTGATAGAGTTCTGGCCTATTTTCTAACCAGCAGCTGGTCTCCAGCACTGGTCACATTTGGTCATACCAGTTGTTACTAATGGAGAACCAGCTCCCCCAAGGCCTAGTAGTAGCATCATAGTAATTGTGTGACAATTACACATGGCGTTGTTCCCAACACTTTTAGGAAGCTTTTCTGCATTCCCCCAATGAACAGCTGCTCTCAGGCCATACTGGAGCAGTTCTAAATATCCTAATACATTGTTTGTGGTCAAAAAGTGACCAAAAACTAGTAGATCTATGTAGGATCAGTACTAAATACTGGGGTTAAAAATTAACCAGGATTTTACTAGTAATAATTTTTCTTCCAGTCTAAATCTAGACTTTTTAGAAAGGTCTCTGAGGTTCCATAAAAAATGAATACTAGATTAAGTCAATGATCTCAATGACATTTTTTTGTCCATCTGTCTATCAAATCTAGTCAATCATCTAGATTAACGGGAATGACCCATTATGTGGTACTACTTTTGATAGACTGATAAGGTGACAGGTTTCACTTGGTGTCCTTCTCCTTTGTTTGAATCAGAGATGTAGACATTAGTATATCTCATCACCTTGTTGTAATAAGTATGTTTCTTCTCTGGTTTGATTTGGTAGTGCTGAGCTTCTTGCAAATGTGGAGCAATAGGAAGAAGTAGCTGGTGATAGAAGAAGATTGCATCTCCATTTTCAATCTGGTTGTTTGTGAGCCCATGCTGCTGAAGCTTAAAAGATATCCAACTTCCCCTTTCTCTCGTCTGGAAAGATGCTATCCCTAGTAGCAAACTTCCTTGCAAGCTGGTTGTTTGGATCTTCCACAGTACCATCCCACCCAAGGTAATGAAACTTCCAACCATTCTGCTCCCTGATAGGTTCCTTGCCAAAACCATTTAAGTTTTTAGGAACTTCCACAGGCTTACACTCAGAAGGAAGGAAGTAACCTTTGTATTTCCCCAAACCTGCTTCAAACTTGGGTCTGTAGTAGTAATATGGATGCCAACCACCGGGATTTTCTTCATCTTCCCAGTCCTCTGGTTCTCCTTTGTTGACCTTTGGATCCTTTCTTTCATAACCCAGTGGAACCTTTGGATAGTTAAGACTGCTATCAACAATAGTTCCATTTCTCCAATAAAAGAATTCAGTATCATGAGTCTCAACCGCATTGTCCCAGTTCCAATCTGTTTGGCTCTGAGTGATTACATTGAAGAACTCTGCTTGTTGTTCTGCCTCCTTGTGACTCATTCCAGAAGCTTCAGAATCATAATTATGCTCAGTATCATCAACAACCTCTTCATCACTTGAGCTTTCATCATCCTCCAACAAAGTTTCAAAATTTGATTCTAACTCAAACACTGCTTCAAAGGCAGATGGTTGGGACTCCACAAAGGCTGGTTGTCATGTTGTCCTTGACAAATGTCAGTTGTTTATGTTGTTGAGTGCCATTGATAGTTTTGCTGATGGTGTTGGGGTTGTTGTTGAAATACTGCTGTGGATAGGACGGTTGCTGGAGATATTGTGTTGCTTGATAATGATGCTGGTGATGCTGGTTGTTGTTGTTGTTGTTGTTGTTGTTGTTGTTGTTGATAGCATTGATGCGTTGTTGTCCATTGTAGCTTGCTGATAGTGTTGCTGATAGTGTTGCTGCTGATAGTAGTGTTGTCGAGCGTCACTGATAGTGTTGCTGAGCATTGCTGCTGCTGATGCTTGGTCTCATTGATTTGTTGTTGTTGTTGATAGTGGCAGTGCATTGTCCTTGATAACCAGTTGTCAATAGCTTGCTGAGTAGTGTTGCTGATACTGTTTCTGGAGATGAACTGTTGCTATAGTAGTGTTGCTGATGAGTGTTTTGAGTG